AGGTTTCTCTTCAGCACTGTAGCCAGGCTGACAAAAAGTCAAGGTGCTGTTTACAAGTAATGTTAACGTTAACTAGTAATAACTATATCACAAATAAAATTTTAACCATTAGAGAAAAATTTCAATTACATTTTCAATACAATTTTATTTGTACAGTGCCAAATCACAACAACAGTTGCATCAAGGAGCTTTATATTGTAAGGTAGACCCTACAATAATAAATAGAGAGAAAAACCCAACAATCATATGACCCCCTATGAGCAGCACTTTGGCGACAGTGGGAAGAAACCTCCAGCAGAACCAGGCTCAGGGAGGGGCGGGGCCATCTGCCACGACTGGTTGGGGTGAGAGAAGGAAGACAGGATAAAGACATGCTGTGGAAGAGAGACAGAGATTAATAACAAGTATGATTCAATGCAGAGAGGTCTATTAACACATAGTGAGTGAGAAAGATGACTGAAGAAGAAAAACTCAATGCATCATGGGAATCCCCCAACAGCCTACACCTATTGCATATAAATAAGGGAGGATTCAGGGTCACCTGAGCCAGCCCTAACTATATGCTTTAGCAAAACGGAAAGTTTTAAGGAAAGAAAAGTTTTTATCTTAAGAATAGAGATAGTGTCTGTCTCCTGAATCCAAACTGGAAGCTGGTTCCACAGAAGAGGGGCCTGAAAACTGAACCATTCTACTTTTAAATACTCTAGGAACAACAAGTAGGCCTGCAGTGCGAGAGCGAAGTGCTCTAATAGGGTGATATGGTACTACAAGGTCATTAAGATAAGATGGGGCCTGATTATTTAAGACCTTGTATGTGAGGAGCAGGATTTTGAATTCAATTCTGGATTTAACAGGAAGCCAAAACAGGAGAAATCTGCTCTCTCTTTCTAGTCCCTGTCAGGACTCTTGCTGCAGCATTTTGGACTAACATTATCTACAGCTACAGTTTGAGTAGTAGTAGTTCAACCATTACTTACAAAAACATCTGGAGACCCAGTGGTCTTAGCTAATTATAGGCCAATCTCCAACCTTCCTTTCATATCAAACATCCTTGAAAGAGTAGTTGTCAAACAGCTAACAGATCATCTGCAGAGGTTTATTTGAAGAGTTTCAGTCAGGTTTCAGAGCTCATCACAGCACAGAAACAGCTTTAGTGAAGGTTACAAACGATCTTCTTATGGTCTCTGACAGTGGACTCATCTCTGTGCTGCTAGACCTTAGTGCAGCGTTCAATACTGTCGACCATAATATCCTATTAGAGCCATTAGAACATGCTGTAGGTATTACAGGTACTGCGCTGCAGTGGTTTGTATCATATCTATCTAATAGACTCCAGTTTGTTCATGTAAATGGAGAGTCCTCTTCACACAGTAAAGTTAATTATGGTGTTCCACAGGGTTCAGTGCTAGGACCAATTCTGTTTACATTATACATGCTTCCCTTAGGCAGCATCATTAGAAGACATAGCATACATTTTCACTGTTATGCTGATGACACCCAGCTCTATCTGTCCATGAAGCCAGATAACACACACCAATGAGTTAGACTGCAGGAATGTCTTAAAGACATAAAGACCTGGATGGCCGCTAACTTTCTGCTTCTTAATTCAGATAAAACTGAGGTTATTGTACTCGGCCCTGAAAATCTTAGAAATATGGTATCTAACCAGATTCTTACTCTGGATGGCATTACCTTGGCCTCCAGTAACGCTGTGAGGAACCTTGGAGTCATTTTTGACCAGGACATGTCCTTCAATGCACATATTAAACAAATATGTAAGACTGCTTTCTTCCATTTGTGCATCATCTCTAAAGTTAGAAATATTGTCATGGCTACTGGACGGACTCACGCGCAGACAGTTCTTTCTTTCAGAACAAAAGGAGATTATTTATTTACAACAGGGATCACCTCAGTGATATATATGTACAGTGAGTTGGGAGGGGGGGGGGGGTCCAGGGCTCCAGGGAGAGAGGGGGGGGGGGGGGGGGGGGGGGGGAGGGAAATCCACACACGCTTCCTCTTCCACTCAGTCACCGCCACAGCTCCTCCGCACACACGCACTCCTCTTTGGCCGCACTCGCTCTGAAACTCCACACACGCTGCCACACCCAGGCAGGTCCCGTGATTTGGTCCAGAAGATGGATATCTACACACAGAATTCAACGTTAGTTCCACAGCAAAATACACACAGGGGATTCTTTTGATAATGCCGAGAGCATGAACTCAGGAGGTTCAACGTTCCAACGATGAGCTGCTCTGTGCCACTGCCTTAAATAGCAGCTGGGGAAATCAGCCAGATCAGCAGCAGGTGGAGACAATCACACAGGTGCATGGGCCAAGAGCGAGAGCCTGTAACGAGCTCCTCCCAGGCAGAGAGGAGGAGGAGAGACAAAGAAAACAAAAAATCGGCCACGGCCATCTGTTATGGCCTATGGATCATCTGAATTTAAAGGGCTGTAAAGCGAGATACCACTGGGTGATCCGGGCTTTGGGCTTTGAGAAAACGTCCCCCTGCCCTGTGTTTGAGGCGTCCGTCTGCAGGATGAATGGGAGGGGAAAGTTAGGTGTGTGGAACAGTGGCTCCCCACAGAGAGCCTTTTTCACCTGCACATTTGCCACTCTGTCCACTGGACCAGATCTGGGGTGCCCTTTCTGGTGAGATTGGTCAAGGGCCTGATTGGGTCCGAAAACCGGAGAAGAACCGGAGATAGTAACCAGCCAACCCCAGAAACGTCTCACCTCCTTTTTAATCTTTGGGAGTAGGCAGGATGCAGTACCTGCTGTTTTCTACATCTGTGGACACACCTGTCCGTCTCTCAGTGGTACCCCAGATACTGTACCTCCCTCCATCCAACTGCACACTTCTTTGGGTTGGCCTCATGGATTTTAGAACCGTGGCCACCCGCTGCACATGCTCTGCCCAGGTGTCACTGTGGATGATCACGTCATCCAGGTAGGTGGCCACATATGCAACGTGTGGCTGCAGCACCTCATGAGGCGCTGGAAAGTGGCTGGGGCTCCGAACAAGCCGAAGTGTGACAAATGGTCAAACTTCAACCCGTACGAAGTGGAGAAGGCTGTCTTTTCCTTGGACTCTGCAGACAAGTGAATCTGCCAGTAACCATTAGTTAAATCCAGTGCAGTGAAAAATTAAGCTGTGCCTAACCAGTCCAGGAGCTCGTCCATCTGGAGCATGGGGTAGGCATAAAATCGTGACACTTCATTTAACTTGAGGTAGTCGACACAGAACCATTTAGACCCATCTTTCTTCATAACTAAAACTATGGGGCTACAGCAAGCACTGTGCAACTCTTCTATAACTCCCATTTTCAGCATTTCAGTCAATTCTTTCTGAACAATTTGTCACCTCAGGGCCCTGGGGAAGAAGAGTGGAGGTAAATGGATTAGTGTACGCTCTGCAGTGGCAGGCCCAGGAGGCTTCCTCCTCAGTGCTGGCACAGGAGGTGGTTACGGCTCATCACTCCCTCTGGCCAGGCAGCCAGGTGATCGTTCACAAGGGTAACCGTGGCTTCCAAGCTCACCGGTCTGTGGCAATGGAGCCAGCGCACTGTTTCCCTGGGCAGGCCATCCACAAACTGTTCTCGGACCACCATTGCCAGCACGCATCCGTTTCCCTCCAGTGTGATTACTTCACTTCCCTGGCACCATCCCACCACACCCCTGCGACATCCTGTCTTCCTTCTCTCACCCTAACCGGTCGCGGCAGTTGGCCGCCCCTCCCTGAGCCTGGATCTGCTGGAGGTTTTTCCCGGTCAAAAGGGAGTTTTTCCTTCCCACTGTCACCAAAGTGCTTGCTCATAGGGGGTCATATGATTGTTGGGTTTTTCTCTGTATATCTCTTATGTAGGCTCTACCTTACAATACGCCTTGATGCAACTGTTGTTGTGATTTGGCGCTGTATAAATTAAACCCCATTTAATTATCCAATCCTCTTATGTTCACGTCAGTGGAAAAATACAGGCACTTTGTTGGTAGCATTAATCAAATATTCAACCCAATACAAAAAAAAAAAAAACAACCAAACCACACAATGATTCCTCACAAAATATTTAATAACAGAATAAAAAACCGGTTAAATACAAGCACTGTCGAATAATATGAAGCACTTCTTCCTTCACTATTCTATAATGTAACAATATGTAAATCCTACATGTCAGAGTTTACCTGCATCTTCACAATGAATACATCCATCTGAGGAAAGTTTGCATAACATATATTCTACCCTCTCTGTTGCTGAAAGACCAGCTGTGCTCAAGAGATGCAAGTCATTGGACATGTTGCATAAATTATTAATAAATGCATACGGTTGGATTATGGGATTTGAGACAGGCATTGCATAGGCTTTTCTAAAGGGATACATGCATACATATCATAGGACTGAGTAGAACAGTGCAGCAAGGAGCAATGCCACACAAGTTATTCTTGATTCAGCATACAATGCAACACACATGATAGAAACACGTATGCGTTGTGTTACTATGTAACTCGTATACTGTATGCGTGGTGCCAAATACAGCCAATCCAATTTTTAAGGCTTTGTAACTGGATGCCTTTACTTTTATGTAGTACATATTTTCTTAATTTTTGTGTAAAGCTGCTACATGAAGCAAATATATTGTTGATCACTCAAATAAGTGACAGAAGAAAAAAAACAAATAAAAAACTCTGTCCATTGCTTTTGTTTAATCACCACTGATAAACCAGTGTGAACCACAGTGAAAGTTCAAACTTGACATTGTCAGGGGTGACACTGGGTTCATAGCATACCAGAAAAAGTAGGCCTTTGTGGCATGTGGCCCACATTTTTTTTTCCAGGTTTCATAACCAAAAATATGTTATAAACACTAGATAACTCTGTACACACGGCGAGCCTCATATTGTAACCAGGTTCTTGTTGTAACCTTGATATGATAGTACATAAAGTAACAAATCACGAACTGAGATCAAGACTTTTCTATTGAAGTCAGAGGGGTATACAGTTTTACTGTTTAGTCAGGTTTCACCATTTATTTTTTAGAAATGTCAAATATGTTCAAAGTTGGACTAGAATGTACACTTTACACACTTCAGCAGTGCTTGCCACTTGATAAATGTAAATAAATTCTGAGAAATTACATAAAAATCTAAATCAGGAGAGAAGTGATTTCCAGCTCGATACGTCATTAAACATGAACACTTGGCCGGCAACAGGAATACCCATCCACCCTTTGGCACATTTTACTCTATTCTGACATCATCAGTGCACTGAGCTATAGACTCTTTTGTTCTTTATTACAAGCAACGCCCACTTCTTTGATCGACTGCAATGGCCTGCTCCCTCTCATTCTCAGTTATTTCAGATGCTGTCCTAAGAAACAGATAAGACAAATGGAACTAGATAAGCATAGCATGACCTGGAGACTTTTTAAGACAGTATTAAAGAGTCCATGTTCCTCCCCAGAAGTCAGAATACAAGGGCGGTCTAATCCAAACTACTGTATTTACTCCAACAGTGACCACATTTAGCTATTCTGCTTTTATGACAAATTAAGGGAATGCATTACTGTGAAAAGTGGCCATGACAGGTATCAGAGAGTCACCAGGAGCTTCTCCTTTACTCTTTACGTAGATGAGCAGAGCATCAGCATGATGATCAACACAGGAACTGTAGTCAGCTGCACTGATGATGTCACAACTTCAAAACACAAGCAAACAGTAAGCATATTGAAACGGAAAAAAAAACCCCAGACTGTCTGCAAATATAATAAAAATGTTCTAAGTGACGATAAAAGTCCTGGAGCTTCAGTGGACAAACCTCGAATTTGTTTACAGGGCTTTTTTTTTGTTAACTATAAAGGCTCTACTTTGAGCTTTTAATATTCCTGTTGACGTTGGCAACCATCAGAAATAAAGCTTTTAAATTGCGACAAGGGTTTATTTGAGGAAATATGGTAAGATATTTGTCATTTAAAATGTATAAATGCCAAAGTACCGTGTCTAGCATTGCTGCTATAGTCTTTGGTTTCAGCCTTCTTGTTCAACAATTCTATGTATGAACTGTGACTTTGGCTTATCATGTTGTAATTTCTAAATCTCTCTTTGGTGGATTTAAATGGTCAAACTAAAACAATTCCAGTCAGCTGATAATCAGTCTCCAATCAAACAAGCACTGATCCACGTCTCCTCAAATTTTCAAAGTAAGAAAATTAGATTTATGTGAGTCTGGTAAAAATGATACTAAATGAAAAAAAATAAATAAAAGAATCGAACGAATCTAAAAGTCCCAAGCTCAAACTCAAAAGCATGTCAGGACTTGTATTTTATAGATGTTAAGCTTTCTCCTGTCTTCATTGACACTTCACATCTGTAAATGATAAGATTAAGAATGACTGATGTGCCAATTAATACTTCTAATGGTGATGGGCAGTTTTACACATGGTTAAGAGATCATGGTTTCATATAGTGAAAAAACCTTAGAAGACATTTAACCATGCAGTGCAGAATGCAAAATGTTGTTTGCATACACACGATGCTCTAGGTTGCACTATTCTTTTAGACTAGATCTGTCACAGAGAGATATGCACTGCAGACTTTAGACTGATCTGAAGTTTGGGTAGACCAGCTCTGTGGTTCTAGTACAGTTACATATGATCTTCAATCACAGGGGAATGCCGGGTCTTAGGTAATCAAGTCAACATTTCCTACATAATCCACAGCCCATCATAGAGTTTTCTGTTGTCAGGAAATCTCCTATGTGGGTGGAGGTCCTTCGTAGCGGAGCATGATGTTGAAGGATCGGGCAAAGTTGTTAGAGAGAGAGCAGCTATTGCCTTCATCCATGAGGGGCAGCAAGAAGGCCAGGAGCAGCAGAGCGAGGAAGAGGAGCCACAGAGGAAGAGCCAACCGACAAACCCGCTGCAGCAGTCCAGGTTTCTGCTGATGAAGAAGTAATACAGGGTTACTGGAACACATAGTTAATCAAACAAATGAATCCCCATTGACACATGTTAAAATGACCAACTATACAGCACTAAAAAGTGTGCTTGCTGCCCAGCATAAATAATGCTTCTGGCCTATTCTTAATTAATCCATTTGGAACTCTCAGAGCTTAAAGTTGGGTTACTTTGACTGAAAAAAAGCAGTTGTAGCTAGTTGCTAATAGCAATGTCCCATGAAATTGCATTGCTGGTGCCTCTGTAATGGAGCAATAGCATGTCCAAGTCTACCCGTAAATTTTGGTGAAATTCTAATATTTCTTCTTTTTAACTTTGTTAGGCAGCACATTTGCAGTTCATGAATACTGCTTGCTAACCAAGCTACCCAAGGCTGCTAGCAATACTTGATAACAACACTGCACCATCAGTCATCATGCCTGGTTAAAAATAAACAAAAACAATATAAAAAAAAAAGTCGATATCACAGCAATCAAAACCATGTTTTATTCATCTCTACAGTGTTTTTATTAGCATCTATAACGTGAATGACAACAATGATATAGTTCTGTGATCATTCATCAGCTCTTAAAAAGAGAAAACCTGTTCAACAAGGAAATCTGCACCATTGCAAGCAGAAAGCAGAAGACAGCTCAGTCACACAGTCAGAAACAACACATACCAGAGCAAAATGACTCAGCTCAGGCCTCTGCCTCTTTTTTCTCAGACTTGTTATTCTGTGAATCATGTTTACCGCCTACATCCATCTTTCACCTTCTGAACACTGTATCACCAGCCTCACTGGTGGCAATGTGAAAACAACAAAACTGAGGTCTACACAGTGTAATACCAGGAAAAAGGCAGAAAAATATTTAAGATGCTTTGTATTGGTGTGTAGTACAAATAAAACTTCCCAAAATACACCATTGTTGTACTTCCTCACGTCAGATCTCTGTGCACTTTACTAATAACAATACATACAGATGGCTGAGGGACAAATTGATAGAAAACGCATTAATGAACTGGAATGAAGTCTTTGATAATGATGATGATTATGAGAATATGCACAATGCCTAATGAGCCACAATGGTTTTGTGTCGGGCATCATTGTGTTGTGTTTAGATTCACATTTTATGGTTTTTACTCAATGAAATATTTGTCAATGGAAAAATAGTGTATAGATTATGGTCACTAGTTACCATTTTTTCAACTTTCTGGAAAAAAACCAACCCTCAAATAACAGCAGCTCCTTCAGGACAATAACTGCAACTGAGTAAATGTAATAGCACTGCAGCTGTCTGAAAGGCTTTTCCAATATGTGGCTATTACTGTTAAAAAAGATATTTGGACGTTTCTTTGGTCCACTCTTCTTTACAATGTTGTAGCACTCCACCAACCAGGACTGTATTGTTGCCAGTGCTAAGCCACTCCCCAGTAAAAGACATATGACAGCCTATTTGTCAGAAGGACTCTCAAAGCACGAGAAACAAAATTCTCTGGTCTGATGAAACAAACATTGAACTCTTTGGCCTGAATGCCAAGCCCTCACCAACTCTAAAGAGCAGACCCCCTCCAACCCCCGACAGGGGCCTCAAACTTGCACAGGAGCTCAACAGCTTCTTTGCTTGATTTGAGACCACCCAACCCCCACTCCCCTTGCCCCCCACCTCCCCCTTCTCCCTCCAGAAGCATGAGGTCAGGAGGTGACTGAGAGCAGTGAACCCCAGGAGAGCTGCTGGCCCTGACAGCATCCCAGGAGCTGTGGTTAAAGCCTGCACGGACCAACCGGCAGGGGTCCTCACCAGGCTGTTCTACTTCTCCCTGACTCATGCTCGGGGCTGCGTTCTCAGACTCCTACTGTATGCCCTGTACACATATGACTGTACACCAACCCACCCAACCAATGTCATATCAACAAATATGCCGGTGACCACTGTGGTTGGGCTCATCTCTCATGGAGATGAGAGAGGGTACGGAGCAGATGAAGAGACCTTGTCCTGCTGGTGCTCAGAAAATAACCTGAAGCTGAATGTCCTCAACACAAAAGAACTCACAATGGACTTCAGGAGGTAAAAACAGGTCCACTCCACTCTCATTATAAATGGAAAACGAGTGGAATTTGTCTCCACCATCAGGTTTCTGGGCACCCACAACTCCACCAATCTCACCTGGACCCACAACAACAATGCCCTGGTAAAAAAGGCCCAGCAGCAGCTGCACTTCCTCCATGTCACGATGAACAATAACCTAGACCAGAAGCTGCTGCTGGCCTTCTATCGATCCTCAGTAGAGAGCGTTTTCTCCTAATTTCTGGGTGTTTGGTATGCAGAGGCCATAACTAACAACACAAAGGCTGTGTAGAGGGTAATTAACAGTGCCCCCCCCCCAAAAAAAAAAAATCATAGACTGCCCTCTGCTGACCCCTGGAGGCCATTGTATGATTCTCCTGTCTCAGGAAAACCAGGGCTAAAGTTGACATCTTGCATCCTGCCCACCACCTGTTTGACCCGCTGCCCTCTGGTTGGCACCTCATGTCAATCAAGTCCCACACCTCCAGACTCACAAACGGCTTCTTCCCCTGGGCTATTTGGCTGTTACTAAACACTATCCCCTGACTCCCCACCCCCGCCTATTCACCTCACAAATCTGAGCCATGGTTAAGAGTAACCCCCATCACTCTGGCCGCTCACACATGGACTAAGTCTGTTCTTTGCACTACTTCCAAGCACTTTGCAACTTTTCTCTAATGTGTGCTTCTCTCTCTCTTTTGTATATTTCCCTCTCGATTGTATATATTTCTACTATTTGCTATTTATTCCAGCTGTCTACTATTCATTTTATTCCAACAGAGCTGGTTTGGGGCACCCACAATTTCGTTATACATGTACAATGACAATAAAGGGCTATTCTATTCTAGTCTATTCTATTGATCAGTGGCCACTGACCACTAATCAATGATCATTAATCAATGGTCATGAGAACTGGATGATCTTGGATTGTCTAAGAATTTCATCTCTGCTTTCCACAGATGATGTGGTTCTGTCGGCTTCATCGGGTCGTGACCTCCAGCTCGCACTGGAGTGGTTCCCCGTTGAGTGTGAAGCGGCAGAAATGTGAATCAGCAAGTCTGAGGCCATGATCCTCAGCCAGAAAAGGGTCAGAGACGAGTTGCTGCCCAAAGTAGAGAGTATACCCCGTTTTTGTTTACAAGTGAGGCAGCAGGAGATTGAGAGGTAGATCACAGTAGAGATGGTTCGGGCATCTGACAAGGATGCCTCCTGGTGAGGCGTTCTGGGCATGTCCCACTGGGAGGAGGCCCCGGGCAGACCCGGGACACACTGGACAGATTATATCTCACGCTGGCCTGGGCTTCTCTGCTCAGGGTGCTGCTCCCACGACCCAGCCCCAGATAGGCAGAAGGAGAAGGATAGATGGATGGATGGACTTTTGCACAATATACGATTTTAAATAATTATAACAAATAAAAATATTAAGTTGCAACTAAACGGAAAAGAATATAGGCCATTATCAAAATTCAAAAAGAAACCTAAACAAGTAACAAACCAGAAAACAAAACAGCCTAAATGAAAGTTCTACCAGTCTCAGAGAAAATCTCCACCTTTGCAGGAAGTTTGTGCACGATTAAATAATTTTTCTTTAATTTTCTTTTAAATTGTAGCTGTCCAAGAGAGTCCAGGCTTTGTTGATGAATAAAGGTGGTCATTTATATTGCCACATATGCTGTTTTTTCATGTATATTTTAGTGAATATCCTTGCAAAATATAAACAAAAGCGGGTTACTCAAAAGCTTTGCACAGTACTCTCAATACAGTATATTCTAACAATGGCATTTCTGATTTCTATGACCTCTAAGCCAAAAATAAAAACATCCCTGAAATATTTCATATATTCACAACATTTTTTGAAATGATTTATGTTAGAAAAACAAACAAAAACAAACAAAATTCAAAATCAACAAAGTTAACTTTTTGTGACCAAGTAATATATCACATGATGCGCTCACCTGAACTGTTTTTTATATCCCAGCCTTAACAGTTACTTGATTTCAGCACAAAAATGTTGTTTTCTTGATTTAGTAACAAATCTTCATAATCACATTTTTCGTTTTAATCAGTTGTTAAATCTATTTAGAACAATTTACATGTACAAGCTGGAGTAGGTAGCCCACAGACTGTGATATTTTAATCTTCCAAGACTTCAACCAACTCTGTAACTAAAGTGAAAGAAATATTTTTTGACCGAGGATGCTTGTAGTTGTCATTTGAACATATCTGAACTCTGCTCTTACCTTTCGAGCTGGTGCTGCAATGGCTGCATCCTCCTGAGTGGCTGAGACTCTCTGCAGAGAAAAAAAACCTGCCCGTTATTTTACAGTGTTTTACCAGACTGTGCGCTGTGTCCTTTAGGATTATATGTTTTTATTTATATAAATGTTTTTATATAAACAGCCGTGTCTCAATACCTAGAGAACGTTGTTAAAATGCATAACTTTAACATCATTACACAGTCCAGTGAAAAAGTAAGGGGACAAATCTCTTGTATGTCACATAAGTTAAGAAACCATCATAAAGACAGCAATAAATGTGAGACTAGCAAAGAACAGCAATAACAGATTGTTTAAAATCAAACAACTACATTTGGGCCCCGGATACCTGCTGTATGTATGCAGAAACCAGTCTGTTACTTTTTACCTCACCTTTCTCCTGTTATATGAAATATACTTTGTTTTTGTTTACAAGATGGATGGATGCATAGTTAACACCATAAGATCCACATAGATTCCATCACAGGGAAAACACAAACATGCAAATGTTTCTAATTTGTTAACTAGATATGTCGAGTGTGATTCGGTTTGCAGACCTGAGTAATAAGTTTGCCCCAAGTGCTCTCACAACACATTACTGGTCCTCTTTGCTCTTTCAGGCTTGCCATGGTATGGCGCTTGCAAATCATTCTTATGCTGATGGATGCATCAGCATATTTGGCATGCAGACTAGAGCAGACAGGGGATTGTACCACTAACCTTCTGATTAATAGGCGACCTGCTCTACCGCCTGAGCTACAGCCACCTAGGTGAAGCCTCATCAATACACATCAATTAGACTTTTTCATTCTTACAGCAGAAGCCAAGAAAAATAGTTTCCTGCTAGTTTTGTCTCTATAATGTTCAGAAGTCAGCGGTCCTCTCACCTTGGAACTGATCCTGTTCCTCACATCTCCGACATCCTTGAGCTTAGACTTGTAAAGCATCCAGCGGTAGCGGAGGTCCTCCAGGCCGGCCTCTTCTTTTGGTCCAGTACCAGCCTCACTGCTCTGGCTATCCTGGATCAACAGCTGAAACTGCTTCTGACCCCAGGACAGGTCAGCTCTCAGAGACTGCAACAGGACACAGATTTGACTCACAGAACTAGTTTTAATAAAATAAACAGTACAGGCTTTTCCTGGTGTTTGGATTGCTACTTCTGAGGCGAAATGCAAGATTTAGAACAACAAAACTCAAATTTTAACCACAAGAGGTCAGTATAACAGTGTCTTTTAACTTGCTCTGCAGGCTGATCATTAAAAAAATCTGACTACAATCACTATGCAAAATAATCACTTTGATACGTGAACAATTGTTATGCAAGATTATACAAAGTTCTAAAACCACAGCCACTCAGCAGATGAAAAAAACCACGAGGTCTGGCTCAAGGTGAACCAGAGGTTCTGTTAGAGCTTCATTGTTATGGTAAATGTGGGTCTTCAGGCAAAACTGTTGCTGACATGTGGAATTCTTTCCCACAGTATCAGAGAGTGCAGTACTTTGAAAACATGCTGTAAAGATTCTGACTCTTGCATGGATAAAGAATGTGGGAGGACTGGTATTCACCCTGATGCAGGAAACTAGTATGGTTACTCCATTTTTTTCCTGTGACATGGCTTATACTGTTTTCTACATGGTCTAATCTACTCGTGTATTTACATATCAGGTTCCTTATTACAGCCTTACACACTATGATATGTCTATGCAGACATAAAAGAGTGTTGACACAAACAATAACATTGATGTGAAAGGCTCTTCTTTGCATTTTCAAACACTGGCTGGAAAACATCTGAGCTACACATGGGTACGGTGTTGTACCCATGAGACCTTCTCAAGAGAAACAACTGGAACCTTAATAAGTGAAATATGACGCCCTTAACAACCGGCTCTAGTAATAACTGACTGATAGCTAATATACCAGCAATAAATAACAGGCTTTAACACCCTCAGATTTAATGATGTAGTTCTAAGCGATATTCATTGTCAGCCTAATGTAGCACATCCCTCTCCTTTAATATCAGTTTCAGTCTGCATAATGTGCAGTCATTAGAAAACAAAACTTGTTTTTGTAATGACAACATTATTTACCATAATAACCAATCAGCCTCAATCAGACTTGGCCCCTGCCTTTCCCTGCACTGTCACAAGGTACCGGATCCCTGCAGGGCTGTATTCTCTGCCTCCTACTGTACACCTATGACTGTACACCAACGATGGGTGGGTCATCGCTGATGGAGATGAGACAGCGTACAGAGCCGAGGTACAGAGTTAGTCCCGCTGGTGCGCAAGAAATATAAAATTATAATAACACACTGGACAATGTGAAGAGCAGTTTCAGCAACAGGTTCCTTTAACCTGGCTGCCTGAGGAAAGCTACAGGAGGTCATTCCTTCCCGCTGCTATCGGACTGCTGAATTCATCCACTTGGGTCAGATCCACACATGTGGAACAGAATGAATCACACCTCAATGCACCCTGTCGCTTTTGTAGACCGCAACATATATTTGCACACATACTTGTCCTTTTATATTTATAAGTATATTTATATTTACTCCTCTATCTCAATAGTCTTCTTAATACTTATCAATATCTGGTTCTACGTTTCGTTTTATATGAGTGCTTGACGTTTGTTGCTATGACAACTCAGTTTCCCTCTGGGATTAATAAAGTCTGATTCTGATTCTGAAGTTGCAGTGTGTTGTACTCACATCAGTTTTTAAAGCTGGAGGTCTGTCACTGAGGACTGAAGGCAGATTTGGATGTTGGGACTGTAGACATGTACTCTGGACTGAGCTTCTCTGTTTGCACAGTTTTCCAGTCACGCTCTTTATCTTCAGTAACATTTCAGAGAGGATTTTCTTGTGTACTTAAAGCAGGACGCTGCTGCATGAACTAACCTGCAGTTGTTTTAACCTTTATTTAAAAATTTTCAGCTATGTCTCTTATTTCTTCATTGTTAACTTTACCGTGATTGTCACTGAATAGTTTGTGCGGTGGACAGTAAATGCTTATCCAGCTTTTCGCCCCTTCCGCCTGTGAAAGCCTTCTTACAACAGACGTGTGTAGTAGGTTACGCACATCTTAAGAGGTTTATTTACTGCTGTTGCCGACTGCACTGACACAAACAACATCCAGAAATTCAAATATCCAGACCGAATGTTTTCAAAATGCAAAACATTTCACTAAAAGTTAACATTCTGCACTGACCAATTTTTATTACTAGATTGCTAGTTTTTGCAAGTTTCTGAATGGGCCTCATTACTGTGATACAGCTGTGACAATCACCAGGAGACATGACGGTAATTTCAGCAAAATCAATATTGACTGAATGAAGCATGTGAAGAATGTGGACACAGCACCACAAATCTGAATAGAAATGTGACATCTGAAAAATATGAACACTATGATCTACTGCGAGTTGGTCTGTGACAACAACATTTGCAACAGTGTGTGTAATAACACTGTGTTACAGCACAGTTTCAGAGATACCGGCTCTCAAAACAAATAATCAAAGTATCAAAAATATAGTCACAATAAAAAAATCAATAAATAATGAACTGGTTATTCAGAAAAATCCACTGTAGATGTGTTTTCTGATACCAACACATCTACAGTCTGCAGAGAGTTTATTATACTAGATTATTTAGATATGAAGCCCTGCTGTTCTCCTTCCAACAGCTTCATTCTCTCTTGTTGACAAAATCCTCCGTCTAGCTAGATGTGCTGCATCAGAGAGATTTTGTTCTGAAGCTCAAACAGTCTGTGCTACCTTTTCCAACATCATACCAGTAAAATTATAGTCTGTGATTCATTGGCTACGTTGTAAAAGGTGTAAACACATGTATGTTAGCATTTTAGACCTATAACTGCAGTGTGTGTCTTCACAGTCCCACCATAACAATAAACAATTGCAGCCAGGCATACATTATGCAAATTAGGGCAAATCTCAGATGGATATGAGAGAAATCTTTTTTTTCTTAAACAAAAATATCACAATACAAGGATTCATCGATTAATTCATCAGTTTTTTGCTTCAGTGCTTCATTTAACACAAGGCTGTGTAGAGCGTAGTTTCTCCCTCCTATTTAAGAGGTTTCCATGATGACAGAGTATAGACAATTTTATTTTACGCTTGAACATGTTTTTAAAGTGCTGAACACACATAAAATATTTCCCTTAACTTCTGATTGGGCAAGACCTCAATTTGGGTAGCCTGAGCTAAATCCAGCCTAACCGGTGACCACCACCTGTCCTGGCATCTTTCTGCAACAAAAACGTCCTGACTGTTTGCACATTCACAAGCTCACCTTGAGTGTATCCTGCTTGAGTCTGACATCTTTGGCGCTGTGTGCTGCTCCTTTGGAGCTGAGAATCTCAGAGAGGAGTTCATTCTGTTTGAACAGCCAAGAATCAAACTCCTTCCTCCTGGATTCATGGTGTCCTTGGCTCCCCTGGAAAACCCCAAACAAGTAATGAAACATTTACATGCACACTAAAACACCTTAGTTAAAACACCAAGTGAAAAATGAAAACCATTTAAAACCCAGATTAGTGATTTAATAAAATTTTAAAAATCTATTTTATATTAACACACAAACTTGAACTTATTTTATATGTAGAAAATGCATTTTCAGATTGCCAAAAAGTCTCTCAGTTTTAGTGTTCCAGAGTATGAAAGTATGTTACCAAAGTATTTTAAAGTGTATAAGTTGCGTCTTTGTTGCCAAGCATATTGGGCCTTAGAGTAACTGTAAAAAAATTGAAACAATTCATTGATTTGTAGATCTCAGAAACCTATATTTTATTCACCTTAGAACATAGAAGACATGTCAAATGTTTATTAAAAATATTAGCATATTTTGAATGTGAGGGCAGCAACATGAAACTCAAAAAATACCGGCAACCGCCAGCGCTACCCCTCAGCATCGTAGTCGACACACCTATGGTATTAGTTATTAAATTCACAAGGTCTTCAGAAAACATGACGTCTGACCTCAAGGTTGAGGACAATGAGATTCAAACTTGCCTGAGATTTTTAGCAGCTGCACCTATGACCTTATATCAACATAAAACATTTGGCGCACAATGAAATATAAAATATGAGGAGGAGGAAGACCCTGGACTGCTGAGCAGCTAAAATCCTCTATGAGACAAGAATGGGATAATTTTCCTCTCCCACAAGTTCAACAGTTGCATATGGACTATTGGTAAAAGAAAAAGGAACACCACACAACTTCTTTGAGATGTGTTGTGGGCAACAAATTCAAAATGTTCTTTTCTTAAAATTAGTACACTTTCTCATTTCAGATGTTTGATATGTCTTCTATGGGTTTCTGAGGTCTGCAAATCACTGACTTCTGTTTTTATTTACATTTTACAAAGCAGCCCAAATTTTTTGGTGTATCAGTGATTGTACTGGTGGTTCAGAGAAGCATTTTCTTTCCCATGATAGAGGCAAACCCAAAACAACCAGTTAGTGGCTTCAATTGTGGGAGGACTGAATAATGTGTTTCACACATAAACCCTTTTTGGAATTGGTTTATAAAAGTCAATGATGTTGTGTGTTTATTGTTTGTATTAGATCAGTTTGCATTGACTGTTTTGGTTATTTAGTTATGGAACATCCATCCATCCATCCTCTGCTTATCCTTGTCAGAGTTGTGGAGGGCTGGAGCCTATCCTAGCTTTCTTAGGCTGAGAGGCAGGGTACACCCCTGGACAGTTTGCCAGTCTGCCGCAGGGCCAGTTATGGAGCATCTAGTGCTCCATAACTGATATAGTGCACTGATACTTGGGCACTATAGTAGCATACAAAACATAACAGTAACTTATGCAGGAAGTTGCTGTAAGTTAGCTTGGTAGAAAATAACAAAATCCTGCACAACAGTACCATTGAGTATTGAACTGGTGTTGCTGATGCTTTCTTGGCTGAGGGTCTTCTGATCTCTCCCACTCCTCCTCCTGAGATGAGGCATCCCCCTGCTTCTGTGCTGTCATCTCCAGAGCTAATCATTGGCGGCTGAGGATAGCTGGCCTGTGTAAATAATACTGCTTCCTCTCCGTCTTCTGCCAAGACACTGCTGTTACCTCCTATTGGCTTGTCATTGGAGACTCCCTGCTCATGGCCAGAGAAATCTACTTCATCTGTTTTGAAGGTCAGTGCACTTCCCTTGACTTTACTTGATGAAATAGGATTTTCAACATCTGGTTCAGCCAATATGTGGTAACCTCGTTGGCCCTGGTTCCACCCTTCCTGGCCAGTCATTAATGCCTCCTCCCTCCCTATCATTGCCTCCGACTTTCCTCCAAGTGCATGCATAAAGCCAGACGTCTTGGCAAAGTCAGACTCTCTCTGCTCTTTGGAACTGTTCAACAACCTGAAAGACAAAGAAATCCAGGTTTCATGCTGTCGTAACTCGTCAGTGGTACCAGTGGACAGAAACTTTCATGTCAAACCTCAGTGCCTACTTTAAACACAAAACCTGATTTCTTGGTTGTTTTGATATATATTAAAAAACAACATTTAGGAAACAGATCTGTCAGAGTGAGCCAAACCTAACTGTTTGCCATCCTTTTCTCAAAATTTATGCAGCGGGGACGGTCTTTCGTAGTTTAGAGAGACTAAATCTAATATAAGACACTGAAAGCATTTAGAGCATTAAGAAACAAAAAACACAACAAAAAATAAGCAGCAAATATTTGAGTAGACATCTACAGCCAGCTAAGACGGAGAAACAAAAGCTACAGACACTGGTGTCATCAGTTACTAAACAAATAACCATGCTGTCTTTGTACTCTTTTAGGTAAACTGAGGGTTTAGAGACATTTCTGCAAACAGCCAGCCTTGATAGGACGGGTTTGTTGAAACACATTTATAATTAAAAAATGTGTCTATGAAGGACTCAAGCAGCAGCTAGTGCTGCTAAGATGTGTCCTTTTGGTATAGACAAGGCCAGAGCGATAAAGGAAAACAAGCTAGGAGCAGTATTGTGATAATACCACACACTGTGTTAGTACCACACACTAAGCTAGGCTGAAAAAAGGAACTGCTGTGTGCTTTTCTTGTACCTGTGCAGATTCAGACTCATTTCGTACAGGGCCAACCAAGAGTCTTTTAGGCGCTTCATGTCTCCAAGAATATGGACCTGCCCCTCCTCAGAAGTCTTCTTTAAAACTCCCTGACCCTGAATATCCACCTGCTGCAGCTGGAGCTCCTTCTCTGGGAACTCTCCCAGTGCTCTCTGTGGAAAAAGGGAAAGAAATACTTATACATAGCGGACAAACTAGACAAAATATATTTTTGTCTTAGCACTAAAGCCACAGTATCTTCTTTTATTCCACTTGCTTCAGTGATGCATGTCTCATTTTTATCAGTGATACAAAGTCAAATAAAATACCAATGTATTCCATCCATATTCCATATTGCTACTCTGCTCATGAGTAAAGCTTTGTCCACATTGGTAGCGATTTCCTCATTGCACATCTCTTTCAGCAGAGCTCGTTAACAATTGGACATTCTAGCTCCCAGCTGCCCAAGTAACCCTCTAATGCATTTACTATCAGACCACAGTCTTTCTATGGTATCTGGTTGTTGGGTTGCTGTGAATCACTTCCTTTGTGGATGCAGCTGAAACGCACTCCCATTACCACGGGGACCACCGTTACCTTCACCCTCCACATCTTCTCTAGCTCTTCTCTGAGCTCTTAGTAATTCTCAAGCTTCTTATGTTCCTTCTTCCTGATATTGCCGTCATTCGGTATTGCTACATTTATCACTACGGCCATCTTCTTCTGCTTGTCTACCACTATGTCCAGTTGGTTAGCCGTCACCAGTTTGTCCGTCTGTATCTGGAAGTCCCACAGGATCTTAGCTCGGTCATTCTCCACCACCCTAGTGCGCGTCTCCCATTTGGACCTCGGGACTCGGCACAGATGTTTCTTCTCACTTGGTTATGGCGTTCCATGTACGGTATGCCCTGCCTGCTAGCATCTTACACCCTGCTGTTATGTGCTGGATTGTCTCAGGGGCATCTTTACACAGCCTGCACCTGGGGTCTTGCCTGGTGTTGTAGACTCCACCCTCTAAGGATCTTGTAATTAGCACTTGTTCTTGTGCTGCCGTGATTAGTGCCTCTGTGCTGTCTTTCAGTCCAGCTTTATCCAAACACTGGTAGGATTTATGGATGCCACCTTCCTCTATCTGCTGGTGGTACATACCATGCAGGGTCCTGTCCTTCCATGATGGTTCCTCCTCTTTCTTGGGTTTCTGCTGCCTGAGTACTGAGCACCCGTTGTTTGGGATCTTCCTAATGTATTCGTGGATGTTCGTTGTCTTATCCTCGACTGTGGTACTGACACTCACTAGTCCCTAGCCTCCTTCCTTCCACTTAGCATACAGCCTCAGGACGCTGGACTTGGGGTGAAACCCCTCCGTGCATGGTCAGGAGCTTCCTGGTCTTTATGTCAGTAGCTTCTATCACCTCCTTTGGCCAGCTTATTATCCCAGCAGGGTAACTGATCACGGGCAGGGCGTAGGTGTTGATAGCTGGGCTATGGATAGCCCAGATCTTGTTCTTACCGTTCAGCTGACTTCTCAGGACTTGCCTGACCCTCTGCAGGTACGTGGTGCTTGCAGCTTTATAGCCTGTGGGATCCCCAGGTACTTGTAGCTGCCTTCTATGTCTGCACAAGTTTCCTCAGCCAGTAGGCGTGTACCATGTCAGGGCCTGGTGCTGTCTAACTCTTATAAATGGACTGGTTCTTATATAGCGCTTTATACAACTTGTGCATTCACCCATTAGCACTTTAAAAGATATTACTGTTTGTGTTCTTTCTTGGGTGGTGCGTGAGTGGGACCAATTTCTTTTTGCGTTCAATGCACGCCGAGACTAAGAACGTAACATGAATTGGGGGGCTCATCCATCCTTTTTTTTTGTCTCGTCGGGTTGACTTGGAGCGCGAGCTTGTTCGTTCTTTGTTTGTTGCCATTGTCGCGGGTAGGTTACCAGTGTCCTTTGTTGGCTCTGTTTTTCTGGTTGGCAGTTTTATCTTGTGTGGGGGGTATGTGTTAGTATGAAATTTAAATTGGAGGATTTCACTTTAAGTCCAAATGAGGAAAAGTTGAACAGATGTAAAAAGGATGACCTCATTCTTATTGCCAATTTCTTTGATGTGACTGTGCCATTGAATGCAAAGAAAAAAAGAGCTGAAAGAGCTCCTGTGTGTTAAACTGCATGAAAGGGGGTTGTTTGGTGAGCCAGCTCCTGTGGAAGGAGTTGAGCTGGGAGCTGTTGCTGGTATTCCTGCCCCACTGAAAAATCTCCCTCCTCAAACTGGCCCTTCTGCAGACGAGCTGCAGTTAACACTGCGCATAAAGGAGGCTGAGTTAAAAAAGCAGCAGTTGGATGGCTTCCATGCACTTAAGGGTGAGGGCTCTGGAGATGCCAGTCCTCTTACACCTCGGTCACCACCTCCGCAGTCACCACCTCCGCAGTCACCATCCCGTAAGCCAGAAGACAGCTTTGATGTAAGTAGGCACATCAAATTAGTCCCAGCATTTAGAGAAACTGAGGTAGACTCTTATTTCACAGTGTTTGAGCGCATTGCAGGTGCACTACACTGGCCAAAGAATGTATGGTCTCTTTTACTTCAGTGAAAATTGGTGGGGAAAGCTCAAGAGGTATGCACAGCTCTTTCACGTGAGGACAGTTTGGACTATGACGTTGTCCTGCGTGCATACGAGCTTGTGCCAGAGGTTTATAGGGAAAAATTTAGGAATATGAAAAAATCTGCCACCCAGACTTACGTGGAGTTTGCCAGAGAAAAGAAAACACTGTTCGATAAATGGTGTCACGCTACCAAAGTAAAAACCTTAGATGACTTGTGTGAGCTGGTGTTGTTGTGGAAGAGTTCAAAAGTCAACTCCCAGAAAAAGCGATAACCTACTTAAACGAACAGAAGGTTACAACCCTTGCCGCTGCTGCTGTACAGGCTGATGAGTTTGCGCTGACACACAAAAGTGTGTTTACACCTCCTATTCACAACACACCAGGTTCAGTTAGCCCAAAAAACAGGTCTCCAAAGAACACCTGTCGTACCACCACCGCATCCACTGAAAATAGAGAATGTTATTATTGCCATGAGCAGGGATACCTCATTGCTGCTTGTTCCGTTCTCAAAAGAAAGGAACAGTCTGAGAAGGGTAAATCTCCTTCCCCAATAAACCTTCTACAGACCAAACTTCATGTCTTAGAAGGTGTGACTGTAATTCGAAGTGATAAAGTAGATAAAGAGTTCAAGCCTTGTGTGTCAGAAGGTTTTGTTTCATTATTGGGAGAAGAAAAGAGGGTTCCTGTCAGTATTTTGCGGGACACTGGTGCAAAACAGTCGCTCATTCGTGAGTGTCTTACCGTTCTCAGCTCAATCCTATTGTGGTGCCGATGTGTTAGCGTGGGGAGTTAGAATGTGTGTAATGCGTGTGCCTTTGCACTTTGTGCAGCTCTCGTCTCAGTTTGTGTCGGGTGAAGTTAAACTTGGTGAGCGACCCCAGTTACCGGCTGCAGGCATTGACATCATCCTTGGAAACAATCTAGCTGGCTGCAAGGTTTTTCCGTTGCCTGAGGTAGTCGAAACACCAGTTACAGACAACAGTGGTTTTGATCTTGTCACACCAAACTGTTCCTTTGTTTCCTGTGTGTGCTGTGACACGTGCGCAGGCAAACAAACATGGAGACTTGGTGGCTCTTAGTGACTCTTTCCTGAGTGATTCAGATCCAACAAGCGCACCACCCGACTGTGAAAGTACCCCTGTTTCAGTAGAGCTTCAGCCTGATGAGGAAGCTATGACACTCTCAGTAGATAAAGAGAATCTTATAGAAGCCCAGAGAAATGATGAAAGCTTGTCATCCTGTTGGGCTTATGTGAAGGAACCTGGGAAATCTGCATCTTACCTCATTGAAGATTGTGTGCTGATGCGCTACTGGACTCCCAGTTCTGGCTGCACCCATGAGGGAGTGCAGCAAATTGTTGTTCCGCAGTCATTCCGTTCCCAGGTCCTAAGCTTAGCACATGACCACATCATGTCCAGTTACTTGGGAATCACAAAAACATACAACCGTATCCTCTGTTACTTCTTCTGGCCTGGTCTTAAATCTGATGTAGTAAAATTCTGCCGCTCATGCCATACATGTCAGCTTGTAGGTAAACCTAATCAGGTGATTCCTGTCGCACCGTTGCAACCCATTCCAGTCGTTGGAGAACCATTTGAGCATGTTATTGTTGATTGTGTTGGTCCTCTTCCAAAAACAAAATCCGGAAACCAATACCTCCTCACCATGATGTGCACTGCCACCCGTTATCCTGAGGCCATTCCGTTGCGCTCATTAAAAACCCGTGGGATTGTGAAAGCACTTGTTAAGTTCGTTTCTACCTTTGGACTGCCTAAACGCATCCAAACAGATCAGGGCAAAGTCATGACAGAGCTCGGTGTTAACCATCACACTTCCAGTGCGTATCACCCGGAGAGTCAGGGTGCATTAGAAAGGTTCCACCAAACTCTGAAAAACATGCTTCGCAAATTTTGCTCCGAGTCAAGCCGTGAGTGGGATGAGGAGTTGCCACTACTGTTGTTCGCCGTCAGGGAGACATGCTAGGAGTCTTTGGGGTTCAGTCCAGCTGATTTCGTTTTTGGCCACACTGTGCGCGGTCCGCTATGTCTTTTGAAAGAGAAATTTCTCTGAGATAGGCATCGTCCAAGAGAAAACATTCTGGACTATGTTAGTTTGTTTAGAGAGAGGCTGCACAATGCCTGCAATTTTGCTCGTGACGCGCTAGCAAAGGCTCAGGTCAGAATGAAAACCAATTTTGATAAAAAGTCTGTAGGGTTTTGTTTTTTTTTTTTCTTAGGGGGTGGACACCTGGGCGTGCCTACTGAGTAGTTGGGTGGAGTCTCTTCCTGTCCTGAGATTGGTTGATTGGTTGATCACCCCCAGTATTTAACCACCAAATGACAGCCACCTGGCCCCCTCTCTCCTAGCCTCCACGATCCAACAAAGGACCTGTGATTTTGATTTGTTTGTGTCTTTGCCCATTGATTTGCAAGTATAACCAAGTACAACCTTTTTGTGTGTGTGTCTAGCGTTAGAACCTTAATCTTGTAAATAGATTTGTAAAGTAGCAATTGTGGAGTTTTTTTCACCTTCTATATATTGTCCACTGGAGCAGCCTAGTAGGTGTGAGAAGCCATTTTTGTTGATTAAGTTTTCTCCTGTTTTTCGTTTAAAAAGTTAGGTAAGTGAATTGTCCTATATCTATCTATCTATCTAATTGTTTTTAGCACATCCAGTGTAACTGGCAAACACACACGGACCTCAGCTTCATGCCAGCGCCCCTCTATGCTCCACTCTCCTGTTGGGCTGTGGAAGGACATCAGCTTCTGCTTCATGATCATCAGCCACTTCTCGATGTTTAGAAGGCTGTCATGGAACCTCTCATGTTCTGCAACAATTTTGTCACTCTCATCTACCTTTGCCTGTATATAAAAGAAAAATACAAGTTAGACAAGCTTTGTCAGGAAAAAACAACTTAGAATCCATGCAGTGCAGGATTTAAAAAAAAGATAAAAAAGAAAAGGTCAGGAAAGAAGAAACATGCATCATGGAAAGTAGCTTAGTAGTAGCTACGTAGAAGCTTAAAACTATTGCAGTGTAAGTAAGGGAGGATTCAGTGTCACCTGAAAGAAGTTTTGTCAAAAAGGAACATTTTAAGCATAATCTTAAAAGAAGACAGGGTGTCTGTCTCCTGAATCCAAACTGTGAACTGGTTCGACAGATGAGGGGCCTGAAAGCTGAACGCTCTACCACCCATTCTACTTTTAAATACTGCAGGAACAACAAGTACACCAGCAGTCTGATACTGAAATGCTCTACTGGGATACTATGAGGTCTTCAAGATAAGATGATAATTCTAGGACATTCAAGGACATATGCTCTCTCTTTCTAGTCTTTGTCTGTACTCACTGCAGCATTTTGGATCAAATGGAGGCTTTGTGGAGTTTTTAGGACATCCTAATAATACTGAATTACAATACTCCAGCCTAGAAGTAATAAATGCATGAACTAGTTTTGCAGGATCACTGAGACAGGATGTTTCTAATTTTATAGATATTGTGCAAATGTAAGAAAGCAATCCTAAATATTTGTTTTATATACATTCAAGAACATATGTTAAAAAGTCCTCCTGCCCGGGCATGCGTTACCTGCATGGGAGGAGCATGATTCCCACAAGGGCCAATAGCCAGAGTCCATCCTTGATGCCACAATTGCAGGCAAGTTATGGATCTGAACGGAAGTGGACTAATGCTGGCAAGTGTGCGTTCATAGAAACAGTAAGTCACATTGGGAACATATTTTATTTCAGTTGCATTTAATATACCCATGTGGACAGCTGTTATTATTAGCTGTGTGTCAGCAGCTATACTGTCAAAGCAAAGTAGGTAGTAGCCTGGCTTCACAGGCTACTCCTCATTTCTAAGTTGTTTTCAGTTGTTGTGGAGAATTAATGTTCACAAAGATTTTCCTTGATGTAGTTTCTGTGCTAGCATACAAACCTGTTTTTGCTAAGAACCCCTGTGTAAGCATAACGGCATTTGAGTGAGCAATTGTGTCGAGGGTGGTGTCGAGTCACAAATGAGAGAATTAGCCTAAATTGACTATGATTCTGTGTTTATTCATCCTGTTATGTCGTTATGATAATCCTTTTGTGGTATCCGTTTCTGTCCATGCATAATTTGGTATGGTGTTCTCTGTAATACTGAATGTGAGAGATGCTGAACCAGTGAAAGAGATGTTTATGTTATTTCTTATTTGTATTAATTTCAGAACCACGTCATTGTAAATAAAGTTCTTCAACACTCAGAGATAGCTTACTAGTGTGTCTGCTATAACAACATATGCTGGTCAAGAACTTAGAAGTACTACTGAAAGTTAAGCTAATGCATCCAGAGTAAGCATCTGATTAGATACCATGTTTCTAAGATTTTTAGGACAGAGTACAGTAACAGTTAATTGAGAAAGATCAATTGGAGAAAAAGAGTCTAAATAAATATCAGTGGTATGGAAAGTAGCTGTACTAGGGATGTTCCTAGCGACTGCATAACATTTAGGAAAATAATTTACTGGCACTGGGCATCAATTAAAAATTTAACAGTTAGATTAAACGACAAGTAAGTCAATACGGATATGGGCTGTTGTCAACAGCAAAGATTAGTCGGCTAACATAATGTTATGTTTGTGAGATTATTTTTTCCCCTCTAATAGTTAGAGCTTTAATCTCAAGAAATTAATGAAGTCATTACTACTTAAGGTTAAAGCAGTGCTTGGCTCAACAGAGGTCTCCCTTTTTGTCAGCCTGGCTACAGTGCTGAAGAGAAACCTGGGCTTGTTCTCTTCTTCAATCAGTGATGAATAGTAAGATGTTCTAGCCTTATGGGGGGCTTTTTCTTTTTTTTTTTTTTTTAAAAACAGAGCAACAAAGTGTTTTTCCAGGCTAAATGAAGACCTTCGAAATCAGTGAAATGCCATTTCCTCTCCAGCTTATGAGTTACTTGCTTTAAGGTGCAGGTTTGTTATACAAGTCAGTCAAGTACTTCTGATTGAAGGCTCTTTTTCAGAGGAGCTAGAGGAAATTCTTAACACAATAATCAACCTCTGTGAATAGAGTTGGTGTAGCTGCTCTGCACTGTGTCAGCACATGGTATTGAAGGAAATAACAGTGGAGGACTTATATCCTTAAACTTTGTTACAGCACTTTCAGAAAGACATCTACTGTGATGAAATGTATTTCTCACTGCTGTGTAATCCATTATTGTAAAATGAAATGCTATTAGAAACAGATAAGACAAAACAGGATTTTGGGAGAAAACTGAGGTGTGTGAGGAAACACTGTTAAATGTTCAAATGTTCCAATTCCAGAACAAGATGTACAGTGTGATTTAAGTGGTGGGTGGGTTCCTTTACATTGCCAATTGTGTCTGTAATAATAGATTGTCATTTTCAGTATCTGCATGGATGTTAAAATTACCAACAATAATTTCTTTTTCCTGAGCTGAGCAATAAATCACATAAAAAGTCAGATGACAACACCTAACACTGCTTTTTTCTCTCCAGAGCATACCCCCAGCTCTCCATGTTACCTTCCACCTGCTCTGACTACAGATCACAATACTGTCTGCAAACATCACAGTCCACAGAGACTCCTGCATGACCTCATCCATCAACCTGTCCATCACTATAACAAGCAAGAAGGGGCTGAGAGCAGATCAGTGATGTAAACACTCGAACCTTCAACCTATCTGTCAACACACCTCACCACTGTCTCATTATTCTCCCATATTTCTCTGCCACTCCTGACATCTTCATGCGCCACACACCCTATCATATGCCTTTTCTAGATCCACAAAGACATAGTGAAGCTCCTCCACACTTTATTTATACGTCTCCATCAACACTCTCAAAGCAAAGATCACATCTGTGTTTCTCTTTCTCAGCATGAAGCCATACTGCTGCTCACTGATCATCGCCTCTCCTTTTTAAATCTAGCTTCAACAACTCTATCACATCTTCATGGTATGGCTCATCAACGTTATCCTTCAGTAGTTACTACAGCTCTGCACATCTTTCTTATTTCGTTTTCTGGTTCTTCCGGCACCGTCACCGGAGAAGGAGACGTTGCAGACCATCTCTCCCTTCTGTAATCATTGGAAATGTGTGAGACTTGCTGTTCATGGGCTTGAATCAAAAACAATCTTGCCTGCTGCCAAGATAAAAGTGTTTTGGATGGTTGAGGTCATGGTGGGTACTTATCTTGTTATTCAACATGATCATATTACTTCAGGGTCACAGATAATCTAACTCCAGCAGAAGTCAAGTACCCAGTTCCAGGGGAGTATTAGGAAAAATGGGCTATTCACACTTCTTATATGAATGTCCCCTCACCTTGACTGCAATGTGCAGATGTTTCCATTCATCACAGAGTTTCTCAAACTGAATCCTGTTGGTCTGACTGGAAGAGACCAGAGTCTCAAGTGCCATGACCTGGGCTTCATAGTCTTCTACATCCTTTAGGATGACCTGGAGACACAAAAGCAAGTGTGCACATGAAAAATAAATAAATAAATAAATAAAATTTTGTACACATCTAAACTTCAACTGAAGTGAACTTCAGTTTCACTAAGGGAAGAGGTACAGGCAAGATCAGACATTCACAGTTTGAAACATTCAAGATAACCAAAAGACTAATCACCTTTTCATAAAGCCCTCCAGCAGTACACAACAAAATTTATCAGCCTTTGTAACAACTGGTCACATAAAATAATGCAATTATTGACTATTTAAAGATGCATTATAAGAATCCAGCTGCTCTTATAGTCTCTTGGTTCATCATGTTGAATGCTTAACGTATGGAAACTACAGTGTTGCTTCATTACAGTCCTCGCCCTGAGAGACAAGCACTACATCATTCTCCTTAGTAATACTGGGATTTTGATGAAACAGTGTACAGCTTCACTGAACTGAAATACAGCGTGTCATAATAACAGTACTTCACTAACACACAGGAGTGACAGTAAATAATATTAAGTGTCTTATATATATTGTACAGATCAACTGTTAGAAAGAGATGTTAGGTTTTCATCAAATAATTTGTAGTAATGCAGCTGTCCTCTGAGAAATCCAGCAGTTTCTATCACAACAGTTACATTAACACTATTTCTCCTGCCTTTTATTTATCTGAATTGTTGATGTTTTCAGAGAAAAACACAAACGGAAAACCAGGATTACACTGCTGCATTATTGTGATACGTACATTACTCCTTTATCAGGTCAGCTAGTTTTCGAGCTGATCATTTGCACTGCTCTTGGCAGAATGCTGCTTATAACTGAAATAAACTAGCTGCATTTGTATGTTAATTAGTGCACTATTAGGTAACCCTGCAAATGCAGCATCAGGCTAATATACATTTTCCTGCCAGCTGACCCCAAGTAAAAAAACAACAGCAATACTACTATTACTAATAATAATACTAATAATAATAAAAATAAATATATAAATAAATAAATAAACAATAATTCTAAAGGCTGACAATACAATGACCTGAAACCTAAACTATACAGAAGCTTAAGCACACTTTAATTGATTAAAATACATCAGAATTTTGGTTTACAGCGCTTGTATAAAGCTACGTTCTTCATGGAAGGCAACGATTTAACAAGAAGCACATTTTGTTACAGTTCATAGTTAACATGTGCCTTTAACAGGCCATCAGTAAGTTCTGGCATGAAATGAAAAATGCAGCTATGAGTAACATTTATATTTGGATGATCTTCTCTACTTTGCCAATCATTCATCATCTCCTTATAGAGTCATCTCTTCTCCTTCTATAAACCCTCTGCTAAAGGAAGCATTAAAGCTCCTTTTTCAGTATTTGGAGAATGTCAATAGCCTTTTTCATGGCCACCACACACGCGTTACTTCACCTTCCCGAGAGAAACAGACTATTTGAACAAAACTTCTGATGACGAGAAAGGCATTAAAAGCAGTGGACGACTATTTCATTTGCTTTTGGAATTGAGAGCAATGATAAGAATTTCATTTTCAGAGTGAAATGTTGCTTCAGACGAGTGATTTTTGGAACCTTACGGGACTGAAAAACTTAAATGAGGCAATTGAATGAAATAATATGAACAGACAGCGTTTCCTGACATTGACGGACTAACTCATATTTAAAGGGTTTACACTTTACAGTGTGACTCTTCATGTGAACTGAAATTAAATAAGCAAATACAATACAATACAGTCTAACTTTCAGCATACTTGGACAACTATGTACCAGCAATGATGAGAAAATTTTTGAGGAATGCAAAGAGCGACATGGCTTTGGACCTGGCCTTCAAACCAGCCAGATCTCTGATTGAGCACTGAGAGTGTGACAGGCCAGATGCCAAACAGGATACAGACAATCTATTCCAAGTGCTGTCCATGCCCATACAGGTCACAGCTGTTTTGTCAGCTTAGAAAGATATAGTCATAGAAGACGAGTCAAATTATAGGCAGGTGGATTTATGGTGTGGCTGGTTAATAAATGTCTAACCCAAAGTCTGGCAGGTGAAAAAACTCACCCCAAACTGGTCTGACTGGCTTTTTTTGGCGAGAATGTCAGGCTGTAGACCATCAGCTGTCATCAGTCTGCCTTTGACACTGGACAACTTTGAGCACATCAGCTTGTAGGTGTCAGTGAAGTCCTTGGTTCTTGAAATGAATGCCTGTGAGAAGGAAAATGTCATTAAGTGTGTCAGTCAACTTAAAGTCTAACAGTATTTTGTCAACCAGACGTCTTCATTCTTTGAAGATGAGTTTTCATTTCATTCACCTAACCATAACCTAACTGTAACCCTGACACTAAAACCACATTTTGAGTCTCAAAAATGCCTTCAAAGTCGTGTAAACTACCAAGTTTTGGTCCCCATGAAGATGTTAATACCCGTCTCCACACACACACACACACACACACACACACACACACACACACACACACACACACACACACACACACACACACACACACACACACTCTTTATTGAGCCATAGTATGAACACAACATTGAGTACTAAGTCCAAGATTTGACACTACAGCAAGTGCTTTTACAGTGCTTTTAGTATCTACTTTGATAATTACACCAGATCCTGCATGTACTTACTAGAATGCATTCATGCACACTTTAGTAAATGCATCTGATGATTTCAGTTTCTAAACTGTGACAGCTCACATGTGTTGCACAAAATCTAATGAGTGACGTTGTTGTTACACTGCAGTAAATAAGATTGGTATGGGCAAAGCGAGACAGAAGGGCATTCACCAAGACAATCTTGTCTGTTCACTGACACGAACTAATTACAAAACAGTTGCCAGGTTACTTATCGTTCCATAGTCTGATATCAAAAGGCAAACCCGTGATTGTTATGTAGCCTCTGAAAATATTTACTGATTTGATAGTCACATTCTCTTTTAGACTGTCTCTTGGACAACTCCGCCCTCTTTTCTCATCGCTCTCTGTATGCATTTCTTGTCAAACATGACCTGTTAATGATTTCAGGATCAGTTTAAAAGTCCAAAAGGTTTGTCTTGGTCTTTTCTTTAAGCCTGAGGGATACGGTAAAGCTTTGAATAGACTGACACTCAAACCTAAGACAAAACAAAGCTCAGTGGACGACGCCAACACGCGCATACCTGTAGCCTGCTCTTCCTCTGCTGCAGCTGAACATGCAACAGTTCTCTGTTCCTCATGGCAGTGCTCAGTTCGCTCTGCAGTCCATCAGACCTCTCAGGACCAAACACAGAGTCTAGCAGGTCCCCTTTCACTTCCAGTAGACTGAAGCGCTCCTGCAGCTGGACACTTTCCTTCAGGAGACACTAGCGCAGAGAGTAGAAAAGAACATATTCACACGTCTCATTCCTGAACGTTTTAGTCAGCACCCTGGACAGATTGCCAGTCTGTCACAGGGCAATTTAGAATCATCGATTAACCTAACCCAACTAATTGCACATGTTTGGACCATGGGAAGAAGCCGGAGTACCTGGAGAGAACCCACTCAAACTCCATGTGCAAATCTTACATAGAGTTGCATAGATGCACATAGATGGTGGAGTCAAACTGAGGACCTTTTTGCTGTGAGGCCACTATGCTGCCCAGCTAGCATTATACAACTTCTCAAAGTCCACATATTTACATGAACATTCAAATGAAACTCTAAAAATTATTTCTATGCAGACTTTCACACAGAACTTTTCACTGAGAATTTTGACTGTCCTACAGTGCAGACTGAGTTACGCAACTCAAAACTTTCCAAAGTGAAGAAAGCTAACCAGTTATGATACAATTATCTTATGAATACAAACAAGCACATCAGGATAACCAAAGTGCAGCAGACAATAGAATCGTATCTTCCCACCGAGGTCTTTGTAGAATGTAGAACGAACTGGGTTGAAACCTTTCTATGTGAGCGTTCATGTTCTCCCTGTGCCTGCATGCCTTTTCTCCGTTTGTGCTCAGTTTTTCCCTACAGTCTGAAGACATGCATGTCAGTAGGGCTGGGCAATATCATACCGTTCACGGTAATACCGGTGTAATTTTGGGCAACGATAGGAAAATGACATATCGCGATAGAATATGGGTAAAACGCGCATGCGCAGTGCCTTTGTTTACAGACGCACATGCCGGCAACGCAGAATGAGAAGAGTGAAAGTGGATCGTTGAATGAAACAGATGAACCAGAACTGGTTTGTAAAAATGCTGCAGCTTCAGTGGTGTGGAACTGGTTTAGCTTTCGTCCGTCAGATACACAACAAAGCACTATTTTTGGTAGAGCATGCTAGCGGGCCGTCGTTATTACACACGGTTAAAATCAATCCTTTGATTTTTCTGAAAGTCGACAGAGCCCCTTATAATCCCGTGTGCCTTATGTATGAACTCTGGTTGTGTTTACTGACCTCGAAACGATTTTATGTGCACGGCGCTCGAAAATCTGTCAAATGTTTTAGTACAACTTTGCTAAGCTACGAAGCCGCACCGCTTGATGGATTGTTGGAGCATTACGGCTATCGTAGGCAGGAGCCTCGCGGAGTGATACGTACTGTGCTTCAACATAATATTACCGTATTGTGTGTGTATCACCTCTTTTTAAGTTTTGTGGATATTATACATGGTTATGCTGAGGATATGTCGGCCAATTTCCACTGGAAATGCCTTTTGGTTAAACTGTCAGTGAGGAATTTGCATTTGCACTGTTACATTTTTATATAACTTTAATGCACATAAAAAACAGCTGCTTGTTTAAGTGAAAATACATTGATTTTTTTTTTTGTTTTGCACTAATAAAGTTGTGGAGTTGTAAAGGATTTTGTCTCGTGTCAATTATATCGTCAGTTATATCGTTATCGCAAATTTTCAAATGTATATCGTGATAAATATTTTTGGTCACATCGCCCTGCTCTACATGTCAGGTTAAAGAGCTGATTCTAAATTGGTAGCAGGTGTTGATAGCAAGTTTTGAAAGCCCATCTGACCTCCCAACCTGTATGATTGTGTCTGCTCCGTTTGTGTTAAGCTAGTATGAAAGTTTTTCTTGGTTGCACCAAACAATTCAAATTGCAGGGGTTAACATACACAAATTTACAAAGGTGAGGAATTTTTCTATATGAGCAAAAAGTCCTTCTAAAGATAATGCATTTGTTTTACCTCAATCTTCTGGACTAACATGGCAACATGGGAGAAGTCTGTGACCTCAGCAGAAGTTTCCAACACCTGAGAAACCGTATCTTTCCATTGGTCGTAGACCAGTAGCGGGTCTTGGAGGATGTTTCTCAGTCCCAACTCGGACTCTGAACACAGTCTAGTTGCTCGACATTTCACACTGAAACACAGCACATATGTACAAATGTACAACTACAATTTGAAAAGAAGTTTCCCAGAAGCCCTAAGGTGTTATGATTTATCCTTACAGTAAATAAACAGAGTCAGATTTTGCAGCTAATAAGTTCCACATTCCTGCTGGTAGTTCCATATTTCTCCCTAGATGGAGAGCTACTGCTGGTGACACATCAGTGAAGATACACTACCAGTCACAGACACAGCTTCTAATTTAATAGGAAGACAGGAAATTTCACAAATGAACCCTGACAAGGCACAGTGGTGAAGTAAAAACTATTTCAGGTGACTACATCATGAAGCTCAGTGAGAGAAGGCCGAGGATTTGCAGAGCTGTCAACAAAGAAAAGGGTGGATACTTTAAGGTATCTGAAATATAAGACATATATAAAGTTTTTATCCATTTTTTCTTTGCTACATAACTCCATATATGCTTCATATATATTATATTTGCCTTCAGTATGTATCTACAATGTAGAAAAGTAGTAAAAACATTAAATGAGAAGGTGTGTCCTAATTTTTGACTGGTAGTGTATGTCATGCAAATGTGTTTGAAAAAGGTGCTTCGACTTGTGAAAATTTCGACTTACCAAAGACCCTCTGGAACGAATTAATTTCGTAAGTCAGGGTTCCACTGTATAACTAAACACAGCATTTATAATGTAACACACCCGCATTTATAAAGTGTGTGCATTCTTCAGATTATTATATTATATTTTCAACAGATTTATTATAGCACATACATTTTCACTTTTAACATTCTCATTTAGATAACAACAGTAATCTAAGGAAAGTAAAATGATTAATTTTACTAAATGATTAGTCATCATGGGGCCTTATTTTTAGTTTTGTTTTGGGGTTTCAAAAAACTCCCACACAAACACAAACACAAGCTCCCTAGCACATACCTTTGATGTTCTTTAACAACAGCCAAGACATCATGAGAAAGGTGACGCGAGTCCTCTGAGAACCTGAAGAGCTCCCTGAGCTGAGCCTTGAGCAGTTCCACCTGGGATTCTTCCCCTGCTAAAGTATTCCTCACACCCTGAAACACACAACAGAATATAAACAGTACAAGAGGAGTACAAGTAGCAACTCACACAAAAACTAACAACCCCAACGCTCACTGAGCTATTATATAATCCTGCACTCTAATCAATCCCAGGGTTAATTAAAGGCCATCCACTTCCTAGTTCTAACTCCTAGCTGAAATACAAAATACTAAAAACGTACAACTTACAGACTGAGTACCCTGAATTACTGATACAAGGCAGGATACATTAATGGTTTCATGTTGTTTACACCAAATTCTGACACTACCATCTGAATGTTGTAGCAGATTTAGAGCTTAATGAGACTACCCAATATTTTACTGTCTAATATTGGTGAGCCTGTGTGAACTGTAGCTTCAGCCTCCTGTTCTTAGATGACAGGGGTTGCAGCTGGTGTGGTCTTCGACAGCTGCAGCCTATCTGCATGAAGGTTGGACGTGCTGTTTTCTACTGCCTTCAAGGATTCTAGCGATTCTTGTCTGAAGTCAACAAGACATTTTCACCCAGAGAACAGCCACTTACTGGATATTTTCTCTTTTAAAGACCATTCTCTGAAAACTCTAGAGATAGCTTCGTGTGTTTGCTTGTCGAGCAGTTGCTCTTGACTTTCAAATCTTGTCCCTAGTGTGGTGTCACACAGGCAATATGGTTCAATAAACAGCACTATGTAAAGGCTTTGACTCATTCTCATTTCTTTATATCTCTGTGGATACACAAAGGAAACACAGCATTTCCAAGGGTCAAAAATGGAGTGAGAATTATCATCAAGAAATTCAAAGAAAACCACAGAGTGCAGAACAAGCCTGGCAGAGGTAAGATGCAAGAAACAAAAGTAATCAGAGACATGTATACAGACCTTACCTTAACATGAGTAAATGACCTAGCCAAGTTGGGAATTGTAATATCAAAGAAAACAACCCCTAGAGCATTGCACAGGAATGGACTCCAAGGCTGCAAACTAAGAAAAATTCCACTTCTGCAGAAGAGACACTTTCAAAACAGACTGAAGTATGCTTAGAACAACCTGGAGAAAGATTATGCATACTGGAAGCATCCTTTGGTCAGATGAGACTAAACTAGAACTCTCTCTGGACAATGAGGCACTGTTTACGCTTGGATAAAGAAAGAAGAGGGATACAACCCAAACAACACTTTAACACTCCCTCCACAGTGGAAGGAGTGTTATGCTGAGGGGATGCAGCATACATAATACCTCCATAATAAAGTCCAAAGCTCATGCCAGAAGACCATCAACTCTGGAGCAGCGCGAGAGATTTGCTAAAAAAAGAACGGGCTGAGTTTGCTCAGGAAGCATGTGTGACAGTTGCTGAAAAACACACAAAAAAATTACTCCAGGATGTTAATCAAAGCTCTTCTTTGTTGCTGTGTTTGGGATCACAGTCATGCTCAACAATAAAGTCCTGCCAATTAGACACTATTCAGATGCCGTGGTTGATGAAGATCTTGTGGTACTTTTTTGCATTTATAATTTCATCAATTTTACAAAGATGTCCAACTAACATCACAATTGCCAGTCTTGGTAGCCAGGGATCAAGTCCACCACGGTCTCCACTCCTGGCCGCCGTCCAACACACAATGCACCCTATCCCTATGGCGCCTGCAGGTGGTGGGCCAGCAGGAGGATGGGCCCATGTCCCCTTTTCGTGCTCTGCCCGGCCGGGCCTCTTGGACTAAGGGCCGGCTACCAGACGCTCACCCTTGGGTACCATCTCTGGGCCTGGCTCCAGGGCGGGGCCCCGGTAACCCTATCCTGGGCTGGATGAATTGTTCCCTCTATGGTTTTCTCATAAGGGTCTTCTGAATCGCTGTTTGTCTGGTCCCTCACCCAGGACCAATTTGCCATGGGAGACCATACCAGGGGGCAGAAGCCCCTGGACAACATAGCTCCTGGGATCCCTGTGACACACAAACCCCTCCACCACGATAAGGTAGCGATTCGCGGAGGGGCAAATCTGAGGCCGTGGTTCTCAGCCGGAAAAGGGTGGAGTGCCCACTCTGGGTCGGGGGCTAGTTCATGCCCCAAATGGAGGAGTTTAAGTATCTTGGGGTCTGTTACCATGGATTTCCAATGCAGTTTTCATATAATTTGGCATACCTGTGATTTTGTACCAGTCCCCTAACTTAAGTATGGCTCCTTGACTGCCACCCTTCCCCTGAGTCTGGGAATGAACTTGATCCTACTATCTTTTCTCCCGACCTTAAGAAAAAAACCCTCATAAGATTGCTTCAAGGTGAGACGATTATACAGATGAATACCCCAGATCGTCTGGCATTCCAGACACACCTAACAGAAGCCACTCCACAGGTACAGAGCTCGTCTGCAAAAAATAAATCTGGCTACGTCTCTAGGAACGCAGATAGAACTAATAATGTGACTGACACACCTCTCTGAGGAATCCGGTGTCTCAAACAAACATATCAGACAGTGGAGAATACCTCGAAATGGCAAGAAATTAAGTGAAAAGAGAAACTTGTCTATAAAATAAAATTTGCAATGTACTGTTTGGAAACATGTTGTTTGTGTTCAGGACTACCAAAAAAAACAAACAAAACTATCAGACTAACTATCATGACAATTTGGGAGTAAAGGCACATTCAAACAAAGAACCAGTTAAACTCTGGTGTTACTTTCTTTTAACAAAATGTTGACAAATGACAACTTTCAGCAAAGATGTGATAATTAACTAAACTAAAAACTACAACTAGATGTGATTTAGTCTTTGGTTTAGTCTGCTTCTCGGAACAACCAGAAGCATCTGACCAGCTGAAGTTAAAGTTCTGTTCTTAGTTTACTTATTTAAAAGTTCAGAAAGGTGCTAATCCATTTAGTGCCTTAAAAATGCCTATTGCCTTAATTGCCTTTTGCAATAATAAAGCCTGGATAAAACGCAGACATGAATTGTTTTCTTGAGGTTAAGAGGTAAGAGAATGAACAGGTTAACAGAAATACTAACTCCAGTATAAAGCAGAGCTGGAGTGCATCTGAGATTCTTTCTGGAAAAGCAGCTGAACAGTCAAAGGGACTACAACAACAGCAACCTGGAATGTTAAAACACAAGACGCTAGGGAGGGGCTAAGTTACAGCTAGTTGGTAAGCAGTGACTGTCTGTTTCAGAATGATACTGTTCTCTCAGACAGGTACAACAAAATAAAAACAAAAACAGTCTGAAGTGATTCATCAGATATACTTGGATGGCTGTTAAAGTACCCTCTGACCTACTCAAAGTCTGGGATACAAAGCAAAAGCTAACAATGAGGCAGCTAACCATAAACATGGCAATTATAACTCAATATGTATGTAACAAACACATTTTTCATTTTTTATGACCCAATGTGTAGGTTTGTACACTGCTCTGTGCAACATCTGTTACCCTCAATCATACACTGGCCACTTAAACTGGAACCTAAACTGAGCTTTCTTTTTATTGTTTACATCAGGACATCCCAGACAGTATACAAATCGATCATCAGCACATTAAAAGAACCACAGTAACTTGGTTACAGAAACGGCAGGAAAAGGAGAGGTAGGACTTTCCTGTATTTATCTACATCTCCACTACCCTTTACACTATAACACTGCTGATATGGTTAATAACCCTACCGTGTATTTTGTCCACTGGCCAACCATTTGCTCTTCAGTGTGGTCAATGCGATCCCTGCAGTCCTGGGTCTCCTCCAGTTCCTGGTCCAGCCCTTTGAACAGCTCTCTGAGGCGGCCGATATCGTCTCCCAGCCGCTGGCACCGGGTCATGTACTGACTGTGAGTATCCAGGCTGGAGCGGAGGCCTTCATCTGCCTTGCAAAGACCTTCCCTCAGTCGCTGCCAGCCCAGCCTCAGTTCCTCTGCCTCTTCAACCACTTCTTCCACTCCCGCAGGAGAGGTGTTGGGCCTGAGGCTTTCCACCATGCCTTCAATATCCAGCAGGGCCTTCTCCTCACAGGCCACACTGTCATCCAGAGCCTGAAAAAGGTAAGAGACAAAACATTGCATGATGGCTGGTGCAAAGATATACGACAACCTACCAAGGTAACTCAAATTTTCAGACCTCACATTCAAAAATGTGCACCTCTTGACCTTTTTCAGGCCAGAAGCTTTGAATCATTCTGTAAAAGCCTAATTTTACAGAGTGATTGAACCAGCAACCAGCTCTCATCTGGAACAACAATCTAAAATCTAAGTTACCTCTAATCTAAGGTAAACATAGCAGCAGAATTGCTCTAGACGTGCACAATGAGTTAGGAAATCAGTTCAGTTTCAGGGTCTCACTTTTAATGCTTTGAGCTTTTCCTCAGCTATGTCATTCCTCCCCATCACTTCAGTCAGTTCCTTGGTTTTTGACAGCAGCCAGGACTGGAACCTCTGAACACAACCTTGGTATGTCTGGTGTTCCTCGCAGATCTTCTGAAGCAGTGAAAGACGTTCCTAGCACAGCGGGAGATATATCTCTAGGTAATTTTTAGCATTGCACTGTTCAAAACAAACGAACATCTTAAACCACATTTGGATGTCTGAGTGAGAAACCTGAATATGAATTTGTATTCTTCTGCGAGACCTTCTGCTGAAAAATAAAAGAGAAGAAAAATACTAACAAGCGTTTCCAAGTAAGAGAGGCTTCCAGGGAATATAATCTCATTAGAAAAACAAATAAAATAAAAAACACTTTTATTTAAATCAGACGTTTCCCATTTGTAGTTAAAAATACAGCACTGCAAGCAGACTGATCTGTTCAGCTTATAAAAGCAGTGTGTGGGAAAATGCGACTGACATTTTAAAGAGCTATTTGAAAAGGGAAAGAGGAAGAACACTGTGTGACTCAGGGAACAGCACAACAGCCTGCATGTGTTTGCTCTTACTGACTAATCCAACGTTGTCTTCACTAGTAAGGTAAATTATTCAGTCAGTAAACTTGCAGTCCCTGGATCAGATTACAGGTGCACAGAATAAATATCACCACATACCTTCATTGACATATTCATCCAGACTGCACCCTTCACACAGTCATGTCCCTTGAGAATATTTCAAATGTTTGACCAACTATTTGACCCACCAGTAGTCTGTGTGTAGGTGTTTGAATTTGTGCGTGAAGTGGTTGTCATCATTTCAGCTCAGGACGACTACATCTGTAGGTGTTTCTCAAGCTCCATGCTTCCTGATGCAGAGGAACTGGACTGCACTGGAGGCTTTACTTTTACGTCCACCAATCAACCACAACATTAAAACAATTGTTTAACATAGTGTAGGCATGCTACTAAATCAGCTCTGTCCATCAGTCCACACCCACTCCTCAGTCTGTGCTTTGAAGATTATGACAATTATTATGACTCTGGGGTGTTGATTCATTTAAACTAACACAATCATCCTCCTGTAACCAAGTTTCTATAAGGCAGAATAAATCGATTTTTTGGTCAATTATTAATTCATGTAGTGACAGACACCTAATGTTTAATAATCCACATTTCATTTGTTTACTCTTTTGTGCAGTTGTGGATACTACACTGTTCTTTCTGTGTTTTTAAAAAAAAAATTTAAATGATTTTTTGCAGATTTTTGCTTTGTTTTTGTTGGTTTGGGAGCTGACGCTCAGTAAGGCTACGACTCTGCTTCCTGGTCCCAACTAACAGTCAAGAAAGGAAATGGTTTTAAAAAAGAAAAGAAAAAATAGACTCAACGACAAACTGCACTGTGACTTCTGAACTTTGCCTACAGAGCGGCCACCTTACACTTTTCATAAGAACCAGGTCAAGTAAGTGCCTCACCTCAGCTCTGTCTCTGACATGATTGTACGCTTCCTGCAGTCTCTCCTGGGCCTGAGGATCCACACTGGGGTCCTGGGTTCTGTTGTGCAGTGCAGCTGCCTCATCCAGCAGCCTCTCCAGTAGCACCGCCTGGCCTTTGATATCACTCACCACCACCCTCTGCTGATCGACCTGCCAAAGCTTCTCTTTCGCTCCCAGCTGCGCTTCTAGCTCGACATCATGGCTTCGTTGCTGCTTTGTCAACCACAGCTCAAACTCTTTGTAGGCCTCCAGGTACTCACTCCAGTGCAGCCACACCCACTCTATGCGACTGTTTTTAAGGTAAAAACAAGAAAGAGACAATTTGTGTCAGGTCCATTGTTTCAGTAAGTCCTATTTAATACGTTTTTAATTAAAAGTGATAGGTCTAACAAAGCACATTTGTTTCTACAACTAGACATAGACTGCTGTCAAAGTTTGTTGCCTTTAAAAAGACATTTTTAGCTTCCTGAAACTGGATTTTATTTACCTTCTCGCTTATTTGCTACATTTATTTATTTGTTTGCTGGTTATTTCAGGAAACCATCTGAGGGCCATACATGAATTTCGACCAGCACGTGTTATCCTCCCCCTCCATCACATACCCCAACATTGTAAGTCAATAAAGGGTTCCTAATCCAGCCATGAGGGCATTTATGCATATCAAGGGGCTTTTGGCCGCATATGAACAATCACAAACCATGAAGGTCTAACAATTAAACTGAAAATACAGAGGTTTAACACATACATGCTAGACATCTGCATTGTTTTAACACAGCTTCAAGCAGCAGTGTGTGACAAGTGCTGTACATTATGTTCAACTACGACATAACTGCAGAATTCTTTACTTGTTTAAGAAAAAACCTTCGAAGGCAAACTCAGGATGCTTGTAAGAATCAGGAGTTGCCTTCATGATGTCAATGTACAGGGTGGGCCATTTCTATGGATACACTGTAATAACATGGGAATGGTTGGTGATATTAAAGTCCTGTTTGTGGCACATTAGTATATGTGAGGGGGCAAACTCCTCAAGATGGGCGGTGGCCATGGTGGCCATTTAGAAGTCGGCCATCTTGGATACAACTTTGGTTTTTTTCCCAATAGGAAGAGGACCATGTGACACATCAAACTTATTGGTAACGTCACAAGAAAAACAATGGTGTGCTTGGTTTCAACGTAACTTTATTCTTTCATGAGTTATTTACAAGTTTCTGACCACTGTGTGTTCAATGTGCTGCCCATTGTGTTGGATTGTCAATGCAACCCTCTTCTCCCACTCTTCACACACTGATAGCAACACCGCAGGATTTATGCCAGCACAGGCATCCAGTATCCGTAGTTTCAGGTGCTGCACATCTCGTATCTTCACACCATAGACAATTGCCTTCAGATGACCCCAAAGATAAAAGTCTAAGGGGGTCAGATCGGGAGACCTTGGGGCCCATTCAACTGGCCCACGATGACCAATCCACTTTCCAGGAAACTGATCATCTAAGAATGCTCGGACCTGGCACCCATAATGTGGTGGTGCACCATCTTGCTGGAAAAACTCAGGGAACGTGCCAGCTTCAGTGCATAAAGAGGGAAACACATCATCATGTAGCAATTTCAAATATCCAGTGGCCTTGAGGTTTCCATTGATGAAGAATGGACCCACTATCATTGTACCCCATATACCACACCAAACCATCACTTTTGTTGTTCCAACAGTCTTGGAGGGATCCATCCAATGTGGGTTAGTGTCAGACCAATAGTGGTGGTTTTGTTTGTTAACTTCACCGTTCACATAAAAGTTTGCCTCACCACTGAACAAAATCTTCTGTGTGAACTGAGGGTCCTGTTCCAACTTTTGTTTTGCCCATTCTGCAAATTCTGTGCGCCGATCTGGGTCATCCTCGTTGAGATGCTGCAGTAGCTGGAGTTTGTAAGGGTGCCATTTGTGAGTAGCTAATATCCGCTGAAGGGATGTTCGACTAATGCCACTCTCCAGGGACATGCGGCGAGTGCTACGCTGTGGGCTCTTGCTGAATGAAGCTAGGACAGCCACTGATGTGTCCACATTTTGGCAAATCCAACACTGAACCAGTTTCACGAAACTTAGCAATCAGTTTGCTAACTGTAGCATGGGAGATGGGTGGTCTCGTAGGGTGTCTTGCATTGAAATCTGCTGCAATGACCCGGTTACTGTGTTCACCAAATATCAACACAATTTCGATCTGCTCCTCACGTGCCGACTCCTAAATGGCCACCATGGCCACCACCCATCTTGAGGAGTTTGCCCCCTCACATATACTAATGTGCCACAAACAGGACTTTAATATCACCAACCATTCCCATGTTATTACGGTGTATCCATATAAATGGCCCACCCTGAACATAACAAGGGTTTACAGTAAGGTACAAACCACCGGTTACACACAAGCACAGAAAGACCAGATTAGACTTTGCCAGAAAATATCTAAAAGAGATGTCACATAAAAAGAGATGGCGTGTGCAATAGTTAGGGTTTAAAGTTGCTTGTTTACTTTGATTGTTTGTTTGTTTTGTTTTCTTGCACGACACCAGAACAACAGCAGGTGTCCGTAAGTTGCAGTTGCGGTACTATGGCACCTAGCCAGCCCTACAGAAGAGGAGGGGACTTAAAGGGAGTGATTTTTTTTAAGTGACAGGTAATTTGAAATGCAACATTTCTATCAGCTCAAAAATCAGCAAACACAAAAACTGCTTGTGCAGAGTTTGTCTCAGTGTGTTGCAGCTAAAGGTCCAGCTGCTGTATTTGACAGGGAGAGAAAAGAAAGAGATAACTTTCCATCAGAGATGGAGAAAGATAAGAAAGACAGGACAGGAAGGAGAGGTTAGATATAAAGGTAAGGACTGCTCAGTGGGATTTAAGAAACTGGAATTTTAAAGCTTACATGTAATTCCTTATGTTTTCAAATCAGAGGTCTGTGCACCTAACATGTTTTTTTATATTATGAAACATGCTGTAAATTGAACGTTAGAGGTAGACTAACTGTGGCATTTAAAGACTGCATGAAAATATTCTTTAGGTTAGTTTGGTGTACTGTGATGCATTTAAATTCAAGAACAGTGTGTGACTGATACACAGTGGCTGTGGCCATGGTCAGAGTTAGGTTACATCGAGTGTAGCAGAGATTAATGTAAATTTAAGCTGATGATGCTGAGATTCATTTTGACTGAATTCCACCTTCATACCAACTACATACCATCTAGAAAAATACAGTATACTGTCAATGAAAAGGATGGAAATCAGCGAGGACAACTCATGACATGTCTGCTTACATCTTTCTGAATTTAGTTGTGCAAATCCACAAGGAGCAGTGTGTGACAGCAGTAGCCCAGATCAGCTGATCACAGCCTGTAGACCAAGAAACTCTAACAGAGCTCTCAATAAAAATTATTGTGAGTTGTGATTCTTCCCCACACTATGCTACTACAACTGATTTTAGGGTTCCCTCAGCAGCTGAATCCCACTTCAACTCCTGACTGTGCTCATTTTCCTGTTTAGAGGCAGTCACACTAATGTAGGCATAAGAAAATCAAGTTTAAAAATGTTGCTTCTTCTTCTTCTTTCTGATTCAAGCTGAGTACTGTTAGAATTAAAAATTATATTAAAGTTTGTATTCCCATTTTCTAATATTATTTTATTATTGCATTAATATAGCACACGGCTCAGTTAGCTTTGCACAGAAAGCTGGTAGAAACTTTCTTTAAGTACATTTCAAAGCCTGTACTTCTTTTTTACTTTTACTTGAGTAAATAAGTTTAAGTACTGGTTCAACTGTTAACACTAGTATCTGTAGGGCTGCACGATTTTGCATAAAATGAGAATCACGATTTTCTTTTCCAGTATAAATATTTATTGCACATCAACTTTGTAACAGTTGAGACTGAATATAAAAACAATAAATAAACATAAAAACAACAAATGTCTCACGTTTTGTTGTTGCCGCAAAATGTTGTACTGCTTGAAATCCCGTCTCCACCGTTGCTCGACGCTGCGTGTATAGAGCAGGTAGTGCAACAATAGAAAAATAGTTGCGGGACGGCACTGTGTAGCGTTTGTCTAGGGTGTTGATCGTTTTCCTAAATCCCTCATTTTGCACAGTGTTGATGGGAGCCATATCTTTGGTCAGGTGATAAGTGATGGCCTCCGTGATTTCTTTGTGCCTGCGGGAGGTCGACGGGTATAGGGAAGCGCTGTATAAGGTTCCCGTTATTGATGTTTGGGTGGTTGACCGGGACGGATTTTCTCCTGTCACTTTCTCGTCATCCCTGACGTGCTCTCCGTTGTTTTCTCCCTGCTAATTTTAGCAGCCAGCTTCTGTATCACGTGGTATAAGGCTCCGCCCTTGTCATTTGTTGAGCAGGAAGAGTGAGCGCTTGTTTTCATGCAGAGTACGTCCCGGATCAAAATGCGGTACAATCGTCGTCGTCTTTTTTCTTTAAATCGTTGTCATTTGGAAATGAGATCGCACATAAGTATGAATTGAGATCGCGATTTTCTAACGATTAATTGTGCAGCTCTAAGTATCTGTACTTCTACTTAAGTAGAAGAGGCGTACTTTCACCTCCTCTGCTAATAATAGATTGAATGCCACGTTGAGGCCGTCATTTTTTGTATCTACTCCCATCCAGAATTTTCTGAGAAATGTCAGAATTATGAGATTTTTTCAAGCTACACGAAAACATCACTGTGTGTTGTAACAGGAAGTGATACTCTAACGCAGAGAGAGGCAACACCAAGTAAGAGCCTTTTTCTCTAGTTTAGACCCACTAAGCTGAGCTTATACGGTAAGGCAATTCAAAAACAGAACATGAAGTCAAGGCTGCCCTCAGGCCAAACCAACCAGTAATGCTACACATTACCACACATCCTGCACTCCTGAACAGTGTAGATGACCACCTGTGACAGTGGGTGATGTAGGTGCAGGTCTCTTCCCAGAGGCCTTTCAGGTCTTTGAGCTGAGTATGGGTGTGGTTCCTGAGCTCTTCATTTCCATTCTGCAGAAGCTGCTCAGCAGCCACCAGCACCATGTCCATCTTCACACGGCCTTCTTCCTCTGACTGGCGGATCTTCTGTTGTCGAGAAAGGTGGAATTGAGAGAGAGAGAATGAACTGTGGATAAATCTAATTTTAACAAAATTGCCTGAGCTAAATAAAACATGAAGTGAAGTATGTTCATATGTAATGGAATTTGTTAAGTATAACATGAAAACAAAATAGATTTTAATGTTTAAACTTTTTTTGAATCATGTACAAACCCAAATCAGAAAAAGTTGGGCCAGTATGGAAAACACAAATAAAAAAAGAAAGTAGTGATTTCTAAATTTACTTTGACTTCTATTTCATTGCAGACAATATGAACACAAAATATTTCAGGTTTTGTCTGGACACCTTCATTTCATTTGTAAACATACATAATTTTCTGTAGTTCAGACCTGCAACATATTCCAAAAAGTGTTGGGGCAGGAGCAATTTAGGGCTAGTAATCAGGTAAATTGGTTAAATATGTTACGTTAGACTCTTTTTCTCTAATTGATCTTTCTGAGTTAACTTCAATAATTACTTCCTCCAAACCATCAACGTGTCTTTTAGACCCCATTCCTACAAAATTGCTCAAAGAAGTCCTGCCATTAATTAATTCTTCGATCTTAAATATGATCAACCTATCTCTAATGATCGGCTATGTACCACAGGCCTTCAAGCTGGCTGTAGTTAAACCTTTACTCAAAAAGCATCTCTAGACCCAGCAGTCTTAGCTAATTATAGGCCAATCTCCAACCTTCCTTTATATCAAACATCCTTGAAAGAGTAGTTGTCAAACAGCTAACAGATCATCTGCAGAGGTTTATTTGAAGAGTTTCAGTCAGGTTTCAGAGCTCATCACAGCACAGAAACAGCTTTAGTGAAGGTTACAAATGATCTTCTTATGGCCTCTGACAGTGGACTCATCTCTGTGCTTGTCCTGCTAGACCTCAGTGCAGCGTTCGATACTGTCGACCATAATATCCTATTAGAGCGATTAGAACATGCTGTAGGTATTACAGGTACTGTGCTGCAGTGGTTTGTATCATATCTATCTAATAGACTCCAGTTTGTGCATGTAAATGGAGAGTCCTCTTCACACACTGAGGTTAATTATGGAGTTCCACAGGGTTCAGTGCTAGGACCAATTCTGTTTACATTATACATGCTACCCTTAGGCAGTATCATTAGAAGACATAGCATACATTTTCACTGCTATGCTGATGACACCCAGCTCTATCTGTCCATGAAGCCAGATAACACACACCAATGAGTTAGACTGCAGGAATGTCTTAAAGACATAAAGACCTGGATGGCCGCTAACTTTCTGCTTCTTAATTCAGATAAAACTGAGGTTATTGTACTCGGCCCTGAAAAGCTTAGAAATATGGTATCTAACCAGATTCTTACTCTGGATGGCATTACCTTGGCCTCCAGTAACGCTGTGAGGAACCTTGGAGTCATTTTTGACCAGGACATGTCCTTCAATGCACATATTAAACAAATATGTAAGACTGCGTTCTTCCATTTGCGCAACATCTCTAAAATTAGAAATATCCTGTCTCAGAGTGACGCTGAAAAACTAGTTCATGCATTTATTACTTCCAGGCTGGATGACTGTAATTCATTATTATCAGGATGTCCAAAAAACTCACTGAAAAGCCTTCAGCTAATCCAAAATGCTGCAGCAACAGTCCTGACAGGGACCAGAAAGAGAGAGCATATTTCTCCTGTTTTGGCTTCCCTTCATTGGCTTCCTGTTAAGTCCAGAGTTGAATTCAAAATCCTGCTCCTCACATACAAGGTCTTAAATAATCAGGCCCCATCTTATCTTAATGACCTTGTAGTACCATATCACCCTATTAGAGCACTTTGCTCTCGCTCTGCAGGCCTACTTGTTGTTCCTAGAGTATTTAAAAGTAGAATGGGAGGCAGAGCCTTCAGTTTTCAGGCCCCTCTTCTGTGGAACCAGCTTCCAGTTTAGATTCAGGAGACAGACACTATCTCTATTTTCAAGATTAGGCTTCAAACTTTCCTTTTTGCTAAAGCATATAGTTAGGGCTGGACCAGGTGACCCTGAATCCTCCCTTAGTTATGCTGCAATAGACGTAGGCTGCCGGGGATTCCTATGATGCATTGAGTTTTTCCTTTCCAGTCACCTTTCTCACTCACTATGTGTTAATAGACCTCTCTGCATTGAATCATATCTGTTATTAATCTCTGGTTCTCTTCCACAGCATGTCTTTATCCTGTCTTCCTTCTCTCACCCCAACCAATCACAGCAGATGGCCCCGCCCCTCCCTGAGCCTGGTTCTGCTGGAGGTTTCTTCCTGTTAAAAGGGAGTTTTTCCTTTCCACTGTCGCCAAAGTGCTGCTCATAGGATTGTTGGGTTTTTCTCTGTATCTATGAAGCGCCTTGAGGCGACTTTTGTTGTGATTTGGCGCTATATAAATAAAATTGAATCGAATTGAATTGAAATAAGGATGTGATGTCAACAGATGATTGTAATTATGATTTGGTACAAAAGCAGCATCCAAGAAAGGTCTATTCCTTTAGGAGCAATGATGTGCCGAGGATCGCCTGTCTGCCAACAAATAGGTAAAGGAATTATTAAAATGTTTAAAAACAATGTTCCTCAAAGAAAGATTGTGTATAACATTCTTAAAGGATTCAAGGAATCTGAAGGAATTTCAGTGCGTAAATGATAAGGGCGCAAGCCCAATATGAACAACCGTGATCTCTGATCCCTCAGGCGGCACTGCATCAAGAATCGTCATTCATCTATAAACGATATTACCACATGGGCACAGGACTACTTTGGCAAAGCTTTGTCAAGTACCACAATACGTAGCTTTGTCCACAAATGCCAGTTAAAACTGTTCTGTGCCAAAAGGATGGACCATCACACAGTAGAAACGTGTTCAAACGAATTTCTGTATTTCAAGTATTTTTGGGGAGAAATGGACGCCGTGTACTCCAGACCAAAGAAGAAAATGGTAACCTAGAAGGTTACCAGCAACAAGTTGCCCTTAAGACTTGTTTGCAGAAAGAATGGGACAAATTTACACCTGAAAGACTTCATCACTTGGTGTCTGTAGTCCCTAAACGTTTTTTAAGTGTTATGGTAACTGGTAAATGCTTTACTGTTCGAACCTTTTTTGTGTCCCAAGAACCAAAATTTGAATACATGTTAATTTTGAAAACAAACAAACAAACCCCATAAAATTCATGAGGAACACATTAAATAATGCGCTGTTGTATTGTTTTCAATGTAATACAGGTAAAAGATAATTTAACAAAGTACTGTTTTCAGTTTGATTTTAATTTAACACACCGTCCCAACTTTCTGTGATTTGGGGTATGTTTTTTTTTTTGTTTTGTTTTTTAGTCACAGAGTGTATGATAAGGTGTGGTTGGACATCCGGTGATTAGATATCGCAGGTATTGAAAGTTATGTGAAAAAGAGATATGGGGTTTTACCTTTTTCTTCTGCAACACGAGCAGTTCAGAGTAGTCCAGCAGAGACGCCATAGGACATTGACAGCTGCCCAAATTGTGAACTTGCAAAACTGTTTTTGTATTTTTTGGCTTTTTCTCTGCTCATTTTTGCCGTGTTAGATTATAGATTAGGGAGGATTTAGATAAGTGCATCTTCAGATCTGATTGTGCTTATCCTCACCTCCAACCTTTCTCCTCACAAAAATTAGAACAAGGTCGGCATTAGTAGGTTAATTAGACAAGTATTTTGTTTCTGTCTAAATTGTGGCATTCCCTTTTAGCCCTTTGTGAAACAATATTTGGTGACCTGTAATTTTTTATTTACTCATCTGAGAAAACAACACCATCTTTGATTATTTTGAAAGTTCAACTAACCGATGTGTATGTATACTTTATTAATCCCCGTAGGAAAATTACTCCTCTGCATTTAATCCATTCACTCAGTGAAGCAGTGGGAAGCCAAAAATCCAGTGCCCGGGGAGCAGTGTGTAGGGACGGTACTTTGCTCGGGGGTACGTCAGGGTAGCCGTTCGGTGGATTTGAACCCCCAACCCTTCGGGGCAAACACTCTACCTACTGAGCTACCTCCTTCCCCCACCAGCCCTGGCCTGCCTCATGTTTTCCCGAATGGCTGGCATGATGTAATTCCAGCAGTCCTTGAGATCAAATAGCTGCTTTCCACCGGGTTATGTCTCCTCAAGTTAGACCCTGTCTGAAACTGGTCAGATGTATAACAACACAGCATGGGTCAGAAGGGAAGGGTCAAGATTAATTTTACCAACCCACCTCTGTCTCCCTAAGTCTGGCCTCCAGAGCCTGACGGGGGCCCTGCGTGTTGTCATTGGCCTTCAGCCTCTCTTGGATGGCTGTCATCCAGGACTTGGCTGAATCCAGGTTGTCTGTGAACTCCTGCTGCTCCGGTAGAGTCATGACTAGTTCTGGGTCTGAAAAGAACAACAGCAGGCAGTTTTAGTAGACACTTTCTGCTGAAGAGGAACTTTACCAGCTGTAGGTTGGTGACGTTTTGAGAAACAACTTGAACAACACTTTGATATGAACAAGAGTAGAATCATTGCATATCCACTTCAGGTTCTTGTTACAATCAGTGACTCCGTACATATGGCTGTGCTCGTTTGCAGCAAAGCAGTGAGGAGTTTTTTCTGTAAAAAAATCATGGTTAGACTGAAGGTTTCTAAGGGGTTCTATATGGTCATTTGCAAAAACTTCACGCTTTGCTCCAAGACATAAAAACTATCTATCTATATTGTATATATTGACCGCCCACAGGGGCGAGTGGGGAATTTATTTTTATTTTTATTATAACAAAAAAAAACCCAAAAAAAACCAAAAAAAAAAAAACACCCAGCACGCCCCTGCGGGCGGTTTATCCTTCAAGCTCGGGTCCTCTACCAGAGGCCTGGGAGCTTGAGGGTCCTGCGCAGTATCTTAGCTGTTCCCAGGACTGCGCTCTTCTGGACAGAGATCTCCGATGTTATTCCCGGGATCTGCTGGAGCCACTCGCCTAGCTTGGGAGTCACCGCACCTAGTGCTCCGATTACCACGGGGACCACCGTTACCTTCACCCTCCACATCCTCTCGAGCTCTTCCCTGAGCCCTTGGTATTTCTCCAGCTTCTCGTGTTCCTTCTTCCTGATATTGCTGTCATTCGGAACTGCTACATCGATCACTACGCCCGTCTTCTTCTGTTTGTCTACCACCACTATGTCCGGTTGGTTAGCCATCACCATTTTGTCCATCTGTATCTGGAAGTCCCACAGGATCTTAGCTCGGTCATTCTCCACCACCCTTGGGGGCATCTCCCATTTTGACCTCGGGACTTCCAGGTTATACTCGGCACAGATGTTTCTGTACACTATGCCAGCCACTTGGTTATGGCGTTCCATGTACAGTGGGGCAAAAAAGTATTTAGTCAGCCACCGATTGTGCAAGTTCCCCCACCTAAAATGATGACAGAGGTCAGTAATTTGCACCAGAGGTACACTTCAACTGTGAGAGACGGAATGTGAAAAAAAAAAAATCCATGAATCCACATGGTAGGATTTGTAAAGAATTTATTCGTAAATCAGGGTGGAAAATAAGTATTTGGTCAATAACAAAAATACAACTCAATACTTTGTAACATAACCTTTGTTGGCAATAACAGAGGTCAAACGTTTACTATAGGTCTTTACCAGGTTTGCACACACAGTAGCTGGTATTTTGGCCCATTCCTCCATGCAGATCTTCTCGAGAGCAGTGATGTTTTGGGGCTGTCGCCGAGCAACACGGACTTTCAACTCCCGCCACAGATTTTCTATGGGGTTGAGGTCTGGAGACTGGCTAGGCCACTCCAGGACTTTCAAATGCTTCTTACGGAGCCACTCCTTTGTTGCCCGGGCGGTGTGTTTTGGACCATTGTCATGTTGGAAGACCCAGCCTCGTTTCATCTTCAAAGTTCTCACTGATGGAAGGAGGTTTTGGCTCAAAATCTCACGATACATGGCCCCATTCATTCTGTCCTTAACACGGATCAGTCGTCCTGTCCCCTTGGCAGAAAAACAGCCCCATAGCATGATGTTTCCACCCCCATGCTTCACAGTAGGTATGGTGTTCTTGGGATGCAACTCAGTATTCTTCTTCCTCCAAACACCACGAGTTGAGTTTATACCAAAAAGTTCTACTTTGGTTTCATCTGACCACATGACATTCTCCCAATCCTCTGCTGTATCATCCATGTGCTCTCTGGCAAACTTCAGACGGGCCTGGACATGCACTGGCTTCAGCAGCGGAACACGTCTGGCACTGCGGGATTTGATTCCCTGCCGTTGTAGTGTGTTACTGATGGTGACCTTTGTTACTTTGGTCCCAGCTCTCTGCAGGTCATTCACCAGGTCCCCCCGTGTGGTTCTGGGATCTTTGCTCACCGTTCTCATGATCATTTTGACCCCACGGGATGAGATCTTTCGTGGAGCCCCAGATCGAGGGAGATTATCAGTGGTCTTGTATGTCTTCCATTTTCTGATGATTGCTCCCACAGTTGATTTTTTTCACACCAAGCTGCTTGCCTATTGTAGATTCACTCTTCCCAGTCTGGTGCAGGTCTACAATACTTTTCCTGGTGTCCTTCGAAAGCTCTTTGGTCTTGGCCATGGCGGAGTTTGGAGTCTGACTGTTTGAGGCTGTGGACAGGTGTCTTTTATACAGATGATGAGTTCAAACAGGTGCCATTCATACAGGTAACGAGTGGGGGACAGAAAAGCTTCTTACAGAAGACGTTACAGGTCTGTGAGAGCCAGAGATTTTCCTTGTTTGAGGTGACCAAATACTTATTTTCCACCCTGATTTACGAATAAATTCTTTACAAATCCTACCATGTGAACTCATGGATTTTTTTTTCACATTCTGTCTCTCACAGTTGAAGTGTACCTCTGGTGCAAATTACTGACCTCTGTCATCATTTTAAGTGGGGGAACTTGCACAATCGGTGGCTGACTAAATACTTTTTTGCCCCACTGTATGCCCTGCCTGCTAGCATCTTGCACCCTGCTGTTATGTGCTGGATTGTCTCTGGGGCATCTTTACACAGCCTGCACCTGGGGTCTTGCCGGGTGTGATAGACCCCAGCCCCTCCCTCTCTCTATATAGATAGCTCGATAGCTAGATAGATAGCTAGATAGATAGCTAGATAGATAGCTAGATAGATAGCTAGATAGATAGCTAGATCACAGATGATGAATTTACTATTAAAAAAAAGACAAGACTCAATCAGCAAAAGTCCTCTCTAAACCCTCTTGTGTACTGGTAGTGATTCAGAGATGCTCCTGAGAAAATGGGGAGTAAGGATGGGAATTGATAATAATTTGGCTTTTCTGATTCTGATAGTCATCACTTGTCAATTCAATTCCAAATTGTCATTTGGTTCTCCTTGGCTCCACTTTCAGAGTCACCACAGAGTTGAGCTAAGCAGCATCAAAGACATTACATTCGTGCAAATTAACTGCATGCTGTGTGGTCAAGTGTTTGTCATATTGGAGGCGTTCAGTCTTTGTTGTGATCAGTGTTGAAATTGCTACTGAAAAAAAGTAATAATTACACATATTACACAGAACACTTTTCTTAACAGTAATGCAGTATGTTACTAAATTACACCCAGGAGAAAGTAATCTGTTATACTGCTCATTATATTAATTATGCATTTCTGTCCTGGATGCAGTTTCCACTTTGCACAAAAAGACAACAGAATGATAATAAAGTAAAAGTAATATCCATATCCATGCTGTAGACCAGCGGTCCCCAACCTTTGTTGCGCCACGGACCGGTTTATGCCCGACAATATTTTCACGGACCGGCCTTTAAGGTGTCGCGGATAAATACAACAAAATAAAACTAGTACCGGTACCGAAAAAAAGAAGATTTATTCACAACACACGTTAAAAGACCCAGGAAAACCGAGTTAACAATAAAAACGATAACAAAATAACGCTGAAAACCAATAAAAACCCTGAAAACCATACATGTCACACCTGAGCCTCAACTCTCGCTGCCCGGTACCAAACGGCTCACGGACCGGTACCAGTCCGAGGCCCGGGGGTTGGGGACTGCTGCTGTAGACTATGGCAATATTTTCATCCTCCAGCACACAAACTGAAATCAGTTTATTGTAGCACAACAGCAAAAGATTAAATGGGATCGAAAGTTCAAGGAAGTGTAGCTCAGGTGGCAGAGCAGACCACCTACCAACCGGAAGGTTGGTTGTTTGATCTCTGTCTGTTCGTCTGTATGCCAAATATCCTTGGGCAAGATACTAACCCCATGTTGCTCTCCGATGTATCCATCTGAGTATGAATGCATGTGAATATTAGATAGAAAGTGCAGACGGCCTTGTTCTTTACAACCCCTCCCCCCCATCTCTCGTTTGGCATTGCTGTGCCAACTGGGCAGAGAAGTGACCTAACTGATCATTTTTGAATTTGCCTGCTTTTGGTTTTACCTTTCTGCTCTTGATGTGAAGCTTATTTTATGAATTATTGGTTTGATATTAGGTTTTGAAAAGATCAGCAATGTGTGTGCAGCCAAACTGGGTGGATGGCCATTTGTAAATAAGACTGCTGACACAAAAGGAGGCACTTAACACTTTGCTGAGCAGTGCAGAGAGGCTTTGTGGAGCGCTTTAGACAGTTCGGGTTCAATCAGATTTTTTTTCCTCTTTTTGGATAGACAAACAGGTGTGGCGATGAGGAAAGACTACTGACATTTTACTCCAATCACTCGGTGCAGGGATGACCCCAGTACCTTGGAGGGAAGGATTTAGCAGTGGGTGAAGTTCACTTTAGTTTCAGTGAAAACATTTTTTTAATTGTTACAGAGAGCTGTTTGGTGTCTGTATCAGCTGTCACAATAAAGTTCTGCAAAGTTAAAAAAAAAAGAAAAAAAAAAAAAAAAAAAAAAAAAGATAGAAAGTGCAAAGGAAGCAAGTGCTTGTGTGAATGAGGCAAGTTTTGTAAAGTGCTTTGAGTGTTCAGACTAGAAAAGCCAGTCCACCATGACCAACAAATTCCAAGGAATTGAACTAGCGGTTCTTGATTCACATTCATAATCTCTGAACTCGACTAAGAATTGGGATCAAAACCAAGATTCGTTGTGGGCTAACCTGAGAGACAAACCTGAGGACTCAGAGTTTAAGTACATGCTGTGGTAAAAGTAAAATACACCAAATAATAAGATGATCTAAAATTCTGTGCTAAACTTATATTAGAATTTATAAAGAACAGTGTCTATTTATTTCAGCATAAATGTAAAAGCTTCATTGCTGGTTCCACACTTTATTGTAGATCAATTACAAACAAAACCTGAACCTCTGCCCTGGACGATTAGAACTCCTGATGGCTCTGACATTCTCAGGCCACATTTTGCTGTTATCCCAACAGAAGGTTGGTAACGCCTAGGGTTAGGGCTGCAGCTACTGATTATTTTATTAATCGAGTAATCTATTGACTATTCAGTCAATGAATCAAGTAATCAGATATGAAATACTTCTGTCTTATTAATGACAAATGATAAACATTCAAAAGACAAAAAAAAAACAGCCATTTAAAAAAAAAATCATTTATTTTCATTTTAGAAATTGCAATGTTTTAAAGTTCAACTGCATACAACTGTCAAAAACAAAACAAAACACAAAAAAACTAGAAGCTGTGACTGTATTTACTTTCTATATTTAAATTTCATTTTTTTAAAGAAAACATTTTTTTAAATGCAAAAATATTTAAAGAATCTCAAATGTGCTCAAACGTCAAAGCCAAATAAAATAAGACAGCGGTCCCCAACCCCCGCGAGAGTTGAGGCTCGGGTGTGAAATTTAGGGTTTTCAGAGTTTTTATCATTAACTTGGTTTCCATGGGCCTTTTCCCGTGTTGTAGTTGTGCGTCTTATTTTGAAAGAAATATTTACGCGTTACCATAGCGACCAGAGAGCATTAAGGGGCAGAGAAGAGGATGTTACTCTCAATGTTGTTGGCGCATTTCAGGAGGACGCTGCTAATAAAGTTACACAGTGAATTTGGGTTTATTATTATATTTACAAAATACCACAGTTTTTGTCTTGGTCGTGTCATTTTATTTTGTTGTACTTATCTGCGACACTTTACAGGCCGGTCCATGAAAATATACATGCAATCTAAACTAAGGCATCAAATATTTATTTCACCTCTATAACTTTGTCTCTCAGGTTTTCTGACATTAATCTGGGGTGTACTGACAGTGTATTATCTCCTGAATGGGGTAGATTTGGAGTGTGTGTATTCACATTTATCAAGCAAGTGAATAAGTAAGTTTGCCAGTTTGTTTTGATGCAGAATTTTTCTTCTGCTGAAAACAAAACGTTATGATGGTGTAGATGTTAAAAATTAATATTAACAATATTAACAAGCCTTTTGTTGATCTACATATTTTATTTTTTTTACATTATTTACATTTGATCTTTTACATTGTATATAATTCTATTGATTTTATTGTTTATTTTAATATTTTAATATTTGTGTACAGCGCTTTGTGATTGCCTGTCTGCGAAAAGCGCTTAATAAAGTTTACTTACTTACTTACTTACTTACAATAATTCAGTGGGGAAAAAAACCTGAGGTCAGGGGACTCAGAGTTTTACTTTCCCCAAGTAGATTTTTTACTAAATAAGTAAAAGAAAAATCTTTTATGCGAACATGCTGAATTAACTTAGCAAATTCATAGCCTGCTTCATGTGACTGACTGCCAGGCCAAGTGAACCCAGATAAGAAAAGAATACTCTTATTATGACACTTTGTTATGATCTGGCACCTATCTGTCCATCATATATATGGAACACATGTGGGTGATTTGCTCCAACTTCCACAAATGTAATAAGGCCAGCTCAGCACTACACACAAAGTCACTGTGACTTCAGAATGCGTTATAAGGAAAACACAAGTTACAGAATGAGAATATGAGTAACTGTGATGAAGTTCACTGCAGAAGCCAAAGCCCAAAAAAGAAAAAAAAAAAAACCCAAGGGAAAATAGAAAGGCAGCACAGGCCCCTCTCATGAGTGACTCACTTTTCCCCACCACAGCATTCCTTCTAACAAATATCTGCACACTCTACCTCAGACTATGGAGGCTTGCTAATACTTAGGACTTCATTTCCCGACTCAAGATAGGAAATTTTAAATCTTTGTTTATCCTTGCCAACACCCACGTGCTTTTCCCTTATTAAAAATTGTTTCATCTTCATTGCTAATGCCTTGTTTCATTAGAACTGGCGTTATATTTGACGACTAAATGTAGCTACTAGTATACTAGCTGGCATCCCCTTTTATTGCTTTGTTTGTTGTCAGGTGAGTCAGCAACGCAGCGAGTTAAAAAGGAAATGCAGATGTGTTCGGGTTTGCTCACAACAAGCAACGTTGCCAAGTTCCAACGAAAACTTTTCACTTGCGTTGTAACAAATTCTTTCTCTCTCACACACACCGAGCAGCTGACACGTTTTGCGCCCCCGCCGGAACCTTTGTTTTGGTTTGCTTGATTGTATCATGGCTGTAGTGACACCCCGCTTCCTTCCTCACAGCTCGTGCGGTCAACTCGCATTACCATTATTTCCAACTTTTACACGCATCTATAATTGACGGCGGTACAATTAAACAAATTATCTGTCATGCTAAGCCAGGTTCCCATGCTCATTTAGAATTCAAAGGCACATGTGAATATTCATACATAGTTCAACTTCCACACCTAACTACTGTCTCGTTTTTAACGACTTTTATGCTATGCTATGGTATGCTAAACTATCAGGCAAAATTCAAGGTCGGTGCCCCACTGGTTTACTGTTAAAAGCACATACATACATACATACACACAACTAAACCATGTGCGTTCATTTCAGTTCTACCTAACTCTTTCTTGCATAGTATTTTAACAGAGAGCAACTCTAAGTACAGTACAGAGAGTTATCCGTGTTTGTAGCTAGAGCTAGTTCTGTGATTCGGCTATCTCCACGACGGTGCATTTACTATCATGTGGCATAAAAAAAATACAATAAAAACTTACAGCTTTGAGTTCATCAAGTGAGAGAAGCCACCGCCGCGATCGCTGTACTTCTATGTTGTGTACAGCAAAGTTACAAAAGGCAGGAAGTAACCCTGGCCTTCGGGGGCTGGAGTGTACGGCAAGCAAGGCAGCCTGCCTTGCTGCCTTCAAGGACACCATGTAAACTGCAAATGACCTGATGTTTCAAACTAACCCAGAAATGTGCTTCAGACGCAGATAAAAACAAACAAACAAAAAAACACTAAAGGAATTAAATACTGTTAAATAATATTGCTAAGGTTTCTGAAAAGTGGGATGAAAAAAGAAGATTTTAGATTTGTCAAAAGAAATACAAAAACAAATGCAAAATACACAGAGAAATATCTCAAACAAACCGAGTAAAAGTATGAAAATTCCTGTAGCATTCGACATGCTTAGAAGGAAGATAGTACATTTTTGCCTATTCCTCAAATAGAGATAGAAACAGTAATCGTGAAATCACAATTTTATTTGACACATTCACGAAAAACATGCATACAGGTTTTTGTTGACTGCAGATTTGCAGGTTCCACTAATATGGTATTCCTGACCGTTAATTGCATACCGTTCTCAGTTCTAGTCGTATTACTAGAGTGTTTCCGCCAGAACCTGAACTCAACAGATTGAACCAGAGGACTAAACAAACCCGGAGCAGCTGCTGAGTCCGGAGGGGTGTAACTACGAAGCAAGATTAATGGCTTAGCGCGTGTCGAGTTATCTGTGTCGCGAAGTTTTAACCGGCTAAATCACCATGGTAACTTACAGACTTAAGTAGAAATACAGATACTTCTGTTAAAAATTTCAGTAAAAACAGATCGGACAATTCATAAGATAAGGGATATAGAAACTAATCAAATAATTTATGACTCTAAAGAGATTGGAAATCAGTTTAGGAACTACTATAGAAAGTTATACAGTCAACCTCTCCGCTGACATTGATCAAATAAAAGCTTTTCTTGAGAAACTGGATTTACCCTCAATTGGGAACAATCAAAATGACCTTATGACCTCTCCTATTACAAAAACAGAGATAGATAAAGCAATAAATAAATTAAAATCAAATAAATCTCCCGGCAGTGACGGTTTACCCTCCGAGTGGTATAAAACTTTTAAAGAACAGCTTATACCACTACTCGAAAAATCATTCAATTATACACTCGAACATGGTGAAATGCCCCCTTCATGGAAAGAAGCGGTTATAACAGTGATCCCCCCAAAAAAAATCAAGTGAGATTTATTCAGATTATAGACCTATATCAGTACTCAATGTTGACTATAAAATATATACCTCAATTATTTCTAAAAGATATGAATATTTTATTAGAGATATTATCAATGAAGATCAGACAGGCTTTATAAAGGGACATCAAACCCAAGACAATATAAGGAGAACTTTATATATTATCAATCATATTCAACAAAAAGGAAAATGTGCAGTCTTTATAAGCCTCAATGCAGAAAAGGCTTTTGATAGCGTAAATTGGAATTTTCTATATCAGGTACTTGAGAAATTTGGATTTAATGATAAAGCTATCAGATGTATTAAAACGCTTTATCAAAACCCAACTGCAAGGATAAGAATAAACGGCAGTTTAACTGAGAGTATAAAATTAGAGCGGTCTACCAGACAGGGCTGCTGCCTCTCTCCTACTTTGTTTGCAATCTTTATAGAACCCCTTGCACAAGCAATTAGGCAAAATAGAAATCTTAAAGGAATAGTGGTGGGGGATGAGGAACATATTATAGGACTTTTTGCAGATGATGTGATCTGTTTTTTAGAGGATCCCGACATATGTATTCCCATATTAATTAAGCAACTCGACATATTTGGGTTTTATTCAGGATACAAGCATAACTTGAATAAAACTCAGATTTTAACATTCAACTATCTCCCATCCAAAACCATAAAACAAAAATATAATTTGAATTGGAGAGCAACAAAAATGAAATATTTTGAGGTAACCTTATCACAAAACGTTGAGGACTTATATAAACTTAACTACGTTAACTTAGATAAGGAAATTAAGAGAGATTTGGATAGGTGGGCTACTCTTCCATCAGATATTGGCGCTCGAATAGAGACGATAAAAGTATGTGTCTTACCCCGACTTCTCTACTTTTTTCAGTCACTACCCATTGATATACCTGAAAAACAATTTAGATTATGGGACAAAATTATATCCAAGTTTATATGGAATGGTCATAGACCAAGAATTAAATTTGAAACACTACAGATAAGAAAGGATAAGGGGGGTTTGGCACTCCCAAATCTTGAGGCATACTTTTATGCTGCACAAATCATTTGTTGGTGTGACAATGATTATGAAGACAAATGGAAGAATTTAGAAAAATCAGCACAAGGAAGAGAAATTCAAAGCCTTACAGGAGACAGAAAAGAAACAATGTAAACAGCTGAATTCAGTCACTCAGTTTACGCTTAAAATATGGTTTAACCTGATACGAAAATACAAACTAGAAAAAGAGCTTGGATTAGTTCGATGGATAGCCTATGATGAGGGTTTTACACCCGGTTATGTGGAACAAAGATTTAAACAGTGGATTCCTACTGGATTAACAGCGATGTGTACACTAATTAAAAATGGGAATTTTATGAGTTTCCAGGAGATTAAACAAAAATATGACCTAAGTAATCAAGATCACTACAGATATTTACAGATTCTGGACTTTTTTTAATAAAGAAGTAAAACATAGTGTAGATCTGGATAAAAATTCGATAATTAAAACCATAACTGAAGTTTACAAAGCAAAAACAATTAGAACAATCTCTACAATTTACGAGCATATAATGGAGGCAAGAGGGTGTACAATAACATATGTAAAACTGAAGTGGCAGAGAGAGTTGGGAGTGAACATATCTGATGAGGAATGTTCACAAACCTGGAAAATACAGCAGTCAACAACATCATCACGTGCCTGGAGACTGCACTGCTGGGAAAATGTAATTAGATTTTTTATAACACCCAAAATTACGAACAAACATACCTCATTACCACAACCGTGTTGGAGGGGCTGTGGAGAGGTAAATGTGAATCATTCCCATGTGTTCTGGTTCTGTCCCAAGATTACAAAATTTTGGGAAGATATTCATTTAGTTATAGGTACAATTCTGGGTTATGCTGTATCTAAGACTTGTACATTAATATACTTTGGTGTCATTACGGGAAATGTGATGAAAGAAGGTAGATACATATTGAAAATTATGCTTGCTGCCTTTAAAAAGGCAATTACAAGAAAATGGAACAAGATAGACCCACCATCACAGGACGAATGGATCAAAATTATAGATGAAATACAAACCATGGAACAATTGACCTACAGAATCCATCCACGCATCCACTTAACACACTGTTTGCTGCTACAACTACACATGTTTCTTTTCCAAATATTTATTTATAAGTGACTTATGTATATATATGTATATATTGTACTATTCTTAGTTAGTGTATTGTCTGTCTTGTCTTAATGTTGGTTTAAAATGGAGCACTGTAACAAAAAATAATTTCCCCCAGGGATCAATAAAGTATTCTGATTCTGATTCTGATTGATTCTGAATAAGGACTCAGGAAGATCAATACCATAAAAAGTGGGAGAAATGGACCGAGCACATAAACCCAACAGGATAAAGACCAACACATTGATAATGAGAAATGATCAAACTGTAGAAACAAAGAGATCCAACATGTTTTTGTTTGTTTGTTTGTTTGTTTGTTTGTTATCCTACTTGTTGTATTTATCTTTTTGTTGTTGTTGTTGTTGTTGTTGTTGTTTTGTTGTATAGTGTTTAAAGAAAAACAATAAAAAGAAAGTTTAAAAAAAATTCAGTAAAACTTGAGGTACTGATTCAACTTCTTTACTTCAATAAAAGTGAAAAAGTAATGGCTATGAAATGCACTCAAAGTAAGAAAGCAAAACGTGGCTCCTTAAAATACATTTCTACCATATTTTTTATGGAAAGGTAACTGGACGTTCTGCTATATTCATTATATACTAATATAATCGTAGTACATGAGAATACTGATGTTATTTAAATCTCAGTTCTAATTCTAATGAATGTTCTTTGCTTGAATCTATTATACAGGACACAAGCAGTAAGAGAGAATTTTAAATTATCTCATTTTTCTGTTGCCTACATGGTTGAGGATGACTTTGCCTCCACACCTAAACAGAAAAATGAGAACAGTCAGGCGTTAAAGTAAGATTCAAAAGATGGGGGAAGCCTAAGATCTGTTGTTTTGTGCTGTTGCGTGGGGGAAATACTAAAAACTAGGATCATTTCTAATGTGAATTCCAGTAGATTTTCTTAATGGACGAGCTGCTCTTTATGGATTTACACAACTGAATTTGAAAACAACACGTAGGAAGATGTTTCAAAACTATCTCAGTCAACATGTAGTGAAATGCTTGTGTTCAAACTGCGGACATTCTGCAGACGTAGCCTGGACCCTTATTGGATACCGGGTTGGAATCAGCCTTGCGACTCCCACTTCGAAACTGTATAAATGGCCTGTATTTGTATAGCACTTTACTTTAGTGTACCACTACACATCCAGCTGCTGGATACTACACTATTCAGATAAATAAATTAATCTCGGCTACACTTGATATATCACTGACCATGAACACCAAAGCCTTTGAGCTCACCACATTACTGCAAGCGAACCTGTTTTTCCTGCACAAAGCTACCGAGCATTTTCATGCAACATCTGAATAACACAAACATAGTCTATTTAATTTGTTGTGCAGAAAGGTAGTGCCAGCCTACATTACATAATATTCTGCCTACAATAAAACCTAGTTCTCCTGTAGACAGTTTTTACACTTATAATGGCTACCCTATGCCTGTGTCAAATTATTCATCCTCTGACACTTAAGACCAACCGTACAAGGCTAAACTACACCCTGGTGCTATGCCCACCTACCAACACATACATGAAGAAACACACACAGTCTCTGCTTTGCCTTTTTTCATTTTTTGATTGGAATTAATAAAAAATAAATAAATTATTGGTTATTTTTTACTATAGTCAATGCAGCTAGGTTTATGTTTGAATAATTCCAGCAACAGTTCTGTTCATGTTAACAGGTTTATATTCAAAAGGCTTGTAC